CTCGCTAGCCTCCCACGGATCTCGTCTACACCTTCTCTCGAGTCGTGACGAACCATAGGTAAGCGACCTTGCGGCTCCATGCACCACCGCGCCATGGCGCCGCCATTGCCGCACCGGTGACCTCTCACCGTGGTCGGCGGCCCGTTCCTCCTCCTCCTCTTAGTTCGCGATTAGTCCTCTCCATCACGCGTAGGTGCTCGTGTAGCGGCCACCCCGGTTGCTGGTCTAGCTGCCGGGACACGGCCGAAGCGCCGCCGTCGCGCCATATGGCCGATTCGCGCGTGCGCGCTGGCGAACTCTCTTAGGGACCACTAGAGCTTTGGCTTGGTAGGGAAATCAGCGTGGGAGCTGGGGAAGCACGTCGGTGCTATTCGTTTCGCCGGGAGGGTTCGCCGTCGGCGAGTTCCCTCGTCGCCGCGCCGGCGGAACCGTCTCCCCTGTCTTCGTCTCGCTGACGGGTGGGGTCAGCTGACGCCCGTGCCCCGCAGGTCAGCCGCCGAGGCTCAGGCGGGATACGGCTTGGGCTGAGCCGCGTCTTGGGCCGCCGTTCCTTGGGCCAGCCCACCTGTAGCTTTTAGGTTTTCTTAATTGTTTTGTTTATTGTTTTCACAGATTTATGTGCATGATTCTAAAATATGTATTTCCTAGTATATAGATCCAAATGCTATGGTTCCAATTTTGTTGAGTTCATGATAATGTCTAGTATTTAATAAAAATATTATATGGACACATGTTTTAGAAAAATTTGATGAATTAAATAGGAGTTTGAAATGTGTTTTTAGAAGCATGCAAACTTGTTTGAATTTTATCTTGAGTTTCTGTGGTCCAAAAATTATGAAATTTTGTGGGCAGTCTGTTATTGCTGATGTGAAGCTCTAGTAAAAATTTTAGAGCTAGTGCATGTGTAGTTTTTGAGTTTTAGAATTTCCTTTTATTAATAGATGGATCTTGTGTGAATTTTCATAATTTTTCTATAGATCCAGTGAAGGTGAAATTTTATGGGTGCTATTCTTATGCTAGAAGGATGCTAGGAAAAATAGGAAATCTGTTGCTTGACACTTTTTAATAAGGTTTCCTAATTATGCTAGAAATAGACATAGCATCTGTTATTTTGGATACAGCAAGTTATGTTGGTCCAATTGCTTTGGAATTTTTATGGTAGTCTATGTGCAGCATGAGATAGCTACTGTAATTTTTGTAGATTTTTATGAATAGTTTTACTATATATTGCTTAAATCACCTAATTAACTAAATAAATTGGAAAAGGATATTAAATAATTTATTTAGAAGCTAGCACTATACTTTCTGATGTTTCTTAGATATGAAAAACAAGTTGGTAAACTTGGTTTGGTCAAATTTGGGCTTTTGCACCATCATTAAATAATTAAGTTAGCAACCCCGTCATTCGGACAGATTCTAGGTCTACTGGAAATTGATTTGGTTAACTTCAGAATCATGCCTTGATGCTTACAAATGAATTGTAGAGAATTTCATAAGCTTTCCAGAATGTCCTCTTGCAAGTCATTTGGAGTTATAGAACTCTGGTTATGATAGAATTAAGTTACTACTTGTTGCATATGAAGCTTTAAGCTGTTATTTTAAGCATGTATGCATACTATTCTAAGTTCATGGTACTGTGCTAGGTGTTAGGCCTTTAACTGAAGATGAGCATCTTTATCTTAGGTTATGCAAGTTAGGTAAGTTGCTCTTGTTATTTAAGTTAAGTTGGATACATGCTTAAAGTGATTTGAATAGAGCTAATTACTTCGCAAAGCGAGGGTCCAAAGTGATGTTTTTCGTAAACACCCATTGTGATTCATTCATCATGAGCATCATGTCATTCCTTATGCATTCATGATATTTATCTTGTGCATCGGCATGCAATAGGTGTACCGGAAGGAGTAACCTCTTGGAATTGAATTGAGGAACGAAGCGGCGGCGGCAGAAGCCAATGACGGGAGATTCGGAGAGGAGACCTTGAGGAGAAGTGCCAGACGAGGTCGCCGTTGAGTGCCACGACCACCGTCCTTGCAACTTCGTGAAAGGCAAGCCGGAGCATATTAAGCCTCCTATTTTCCGAGCTGCGATTCTGATGTATTATTATTACATATATTGTTGCATTAAGTTTAGGTGTTGGATGCAAACACTTGCGCATTGGTTACCCATTCCTTGTCCAGATATTGTTACCTGAATCCTATGTAGCTCGAGGCTCGAGTAGTGCTTAGCCCTCGCTTCAACGCGGTAGAAGTCGGGTGATTTCTGTCACCTGCGAGATATAGGAAGATACATGTGGCACGGTTGGCTATATTTGCTATCGTGGAAAAGAACCGATCTTAATTTGAAATGAAGACCGGACGGAGGCTTGTCGGTTTGCGGTGACTCCGTCTGTGTCGCTAAACAGGACTGATTCTTGGAGCCTTTCTGTTCATGTTGAGCGATGCCTCTCTCTTAGTTGGCCGTGTCCGATGACCGACCCATGGCCGAGTAGCTCACCTCGGGCCGGGAGTCGATAAGTATAAAGTGCGCCTCGAAGGGAGCCGAGGCGTGAGTCAAGGCGGTGATTTAAAAGTCCCGATCGTCTGGCGAAAGGGTAATCCACGAGAGTCTTTGTGTTGATCGAACCAGCGAATTTGGTTCTGAGATGTTCCAAAGGTGACCACGGCTACCCTTGCAAAGTATGCCGGGGTGAGAGTTAGGAATACCCCCTCGGCTGAGTTGTAATTCGATTGAATCGCCGTCTCTCCCGGTTAGTGAGAACTTGACGGGCTTATCTCCAATGTAGATACACTTAATAACTTAATGGTTGGAAATGATGATATGATGATGCCGGCCTTATTATACCGCTATGGTTAATATTGTTTGCTCCTAATAAGTGAGTGCTCTAGTACAGGTGCTAATCTAGTGGACAGGTAAATGATGATAAGCTTGATGCTAAGTTTAAATTGGTTACTATGCTCATAAGCTCTTTTATGCAAATGTGCCAAGCTAGCCCACCTGAAAAGCCTTGCATGATCCTTGGTGTCTTTTAATTCTGATTTTTGTCGGGTAAGTCTAGCTGAGTACCTTCTCGTACTCAGGGTTTATTTCCCACCATTGCAGATGACCCGGTTCTTCTTTGGTTTGCAAGTCGCCTTCTCCCCGCTTTGGGGATGAAGACTAGACCGTTGGGCGCGGTCTCTACTAGTTCTCGTGCACGATAATGCTTTTGTGGGACATGACTACGATCCGCAGCGTAATTGAAACTATGAAGTTATGTACTAAACTATGTTGCTTCCGCACACTCAAACTTGGTTTGTAATATTTTATTTGAACTCTGATGGATGTAATCCGAATGCTACTTGTGAAATGTTGTAACGAATGATGTGTTGTGTTGAATCATTACGATCTTGGTTTGTATGTCGAGAGTTGGTTGAAATCCTTCGTGATTTCCCGGACTCTACGGGATTATGGGAGCTTAAGTACTGGAATTTGATAAACCGGTGATTGTTTTTGTACTTACGTTCTTATGATTTGGTCGGTTCTGTTACAAGTAATTTCGAATTTTTTCCTTTTTTAGAAAAAGAAAAATCTTTGGTTCCGTGTGGTTCACGACTTTGACATTTACAGCTAAACTAAGACTGTCTCCAACGAGCTATGCAAACCGTTACCCATACCCAAAATGCATCATCTCTGATGGAAAAATCTCCTCCAACGAGTCTTGACACTATACTTGCCTATTTTGCATCCGGTGAGAGAGAGCATAAAAATGCGTCGTCCGCGAGAGAGAGAGAGGGAAGGAGAGAAAACAGAGCAGGGCGGTGCTTGGCTGCGGCAACGCCGTCGGCGGCTTTGGAGCGCTCGGCTCCGGCGCGGCGGAGTAGAGCAGAGAGGAGGAAGAGGAAGAGATGGAGGGAGAAGGCAGCGGCGGTCTCGGACTTCCTCCCGTCCGCGGACTCCGCGCCGTCGAGCGACCTCACCGGCGCGCCGCTACTCCCTCCGGACCCTCCCCTGCCGGCCGCGGGCATCTCTGCCCCATCCCTGGCGGCGGCGTGGTCCTATCCCAGCGGTGGCGCGTCCTATCCCGGCGGCGGCGCCTGCTCCGGTCGCGCGGACGCGGCTCCAATGGCACGGCAGGCGACCGGCGTTCCCTCCCTCGCTCCTTCCCTTCCTCCTTCGCTGCCGGCGAGTGCGGGAGCCCCGGCCAGCGAGCGCGGGCATCCACGGTCGGCGCGGCGCGGCGAATCGCTCAGGACGCAGGCCCCAGCCCTGGCGGCAGGCGCGGCCGCAGATCCAGCACAGAGGACGTCGCGGCCCGCTGCCCCTTCATCTCCGGCGAAGCCTGCTGCCTCCCGCACGCCCTCGCCTCAGCTCCGCGGCCCCGTTGCCCCTCCACCTCCGGCGAACCCGGCCGCCGCCCACACGACGCGCCTCAGCTCCGCCCCCACGCTTCCCAGGCCTCTCTTTTTGCGTTCGCTGTTGGAGTTCGCTAATTTTGCGTTCGTTCTTCTCTCGCGTTGCGTGACCCAAACGGTAAAATGAGTCTCGTATATGGGTGAGCTTCGTTGGAGATAGTCTAACAAGATGACAGCGTTGGAAGAGAGTAACAGGGCGACCAGTGGCACCACAGCAACGCATCACGTCTCAATTTTCTTTTGTTCTTAGCATGAAAATAAAATTCTGTTGCATTTTCTGTTTTAGAAGGGTGAAATTTCAGAAGATTTTTGGAGTTCCCTGACTGAGTAAAGTAAAAACCAAAATTGAGAAGCTTCTGTAACATCAGCATATTCCCGTTTCCTACGGGGCCCATCAGCCTCTCTGCACCCACACCAAGTGGAAGTGGAGCAGTCAGCAGCCTGCTTGGCGCCACACAAGCGTACACGCCGCCGCCGATACACACGCCACCACCACCGCCTCCCATGGCGACCGTCGCCACGCGCTTCGGCTCCCCTCCACCGCCGCAGACTCCTCGCCCCCGGCCCCGCCGCCGCGCCGCCTTCCCCGCCGGAGCAGCACGCGGTCGCATGAGGAGGTTAGGTGGTTCTGGAGCCTCTTCCGGTGGGAACGATCTGGGTTTGGGGGCAATAGGGTTGTGCAGATTTTCCCCTGGGTGTCTAGATGTTCGAGATTTTCCTTTCCCGTGCTTATTTGGATCACGGGATACTCATTGGACGGTGCTCTTGACATGATTTTGCGACTACTACTCGCTAACAATAACACCCACTCGTAATCTCTTCTGAAATTTCCTCTGGATTTCTGAAAACTTCCTGTACAGTTGAGGAATCTAGGCCTCTGTGGCAGAATGGCGCTTGGGGGGAAGTTTACTACTAGATGGTAGATGCAATGTGTTATTACTTGAGATATAACTTTATATTCTTGTGAACAGAAACAGTTTGTGCAACTTATCCTGCTTGGTGTCTGGAGCAGGGCCTTCTTCCGATGGCGAAGATCTGAATGAGGTTATTGATACAGTGGAAGTAGAATCTAGCACCCCAGGTGCTTCTTCACTCCTTGCAAAAGTGGCAGTTGCTATCGGTATTGCAGCCACGGCTACTGTGATTTCACTGGTCATGAAAGAGCCTTCGTCAGGCCCTTCTTTCAGTCTGCCACAGATAGTTGATGCTTCCACGCAGTCTGATGCAGCAGCTGCCACCATCGGATATACGTTTTCTCTATTTGGAAAGAAAGTCATAATTCCAGAATACACACCAGGGTATGTCAATTTGGCTATGTGTATTATCTTTGTGGCTTGTGAGATACAGACTATTTGTTTCTCTGCTGACTGTAATCAGTTACCCTGGTTCATCCGTTAGATTGTGGATTAAACACTAAAATATAGAGCTACATTTGCTTATCCATGTATATCTTCCACACAGTAATGTCAGGTCAATGCTTTAAACAAACGTCATATTGCCCATTTCCCCTCTGACAAGTTTAGGGACCTACGAATTGTCTGACTATGGAATGATTTCCACAACGTTTTCTTTGATCCTGTTCTTTAATATTGAGTTTGGTGATTGCCAGCCAATTGCAAATTGGCTAGTTAGTTAAGGCAAACAAGTGTGTTCCTTCTCTATCGATGAAATGAGCACCAACTCGTGCCTGTTCATTCAAAAAAAAAAGGCAAACAAGTGTATCCAACTATCCATGGATTAATGACGTTTTTCATTCCCTGTTCTTGTTGACTAGGGTCGTGTTTAGTTTCCAAAATTTTTTGCCTCCTACAGTAAAAGAGCATGTTTGGACACATGCATGGAGTACTAAATGCAGATGAAAAAAAAAATTGCACAGTTCTCTGCAAAATCGCGAGACGAATCTTTTAAGTCTAATTAGTCCATGAAAAGCCTTAAGTGCTACAGTAACCCACATGTGCTAATGACAAATTAATTAGTATCATTAGATTCGTCTCGCAGTTTCCTGATGGGTTCTATAATTTGTTTTTTTATTAGTATCCAAAAACCCCTCCCGACATCCTTCCGACACATCCGATGTGACACCCAAAAATTTTCACCTCCCCAACTAAACACACCCTAGATTGCTTAGCAAGTTAGCATTTAAGAGGTGTGGTCTGTGGTGTACTCTAGTATATTTTAATTAGAATATGTCTCAGCAGAGCTGTTGTTTCCTGTAGAATTTCTAGTACATTTCTCTTTTGCGGAGGTATCTCAACCACATGCCATCAAGTTCAAATATTAAGGATAGCATTGCTAAATGAGTGCAGAGCCACTAGGGACAAATTTCTCAAGAAAAAAAAATCTCATGTCTATGAGTCTATCTATGGTATTATTCTAACTGAGGATTGCAGAAAATTCATGAACTACACAGGTCAAGTTCTAAAAACAAATAAAAAGTTATGTTTAACTCAGTAGCCAAGAATCTAGTCCTATTTCATTTTTGCACCATTTCTCTAATATATCAGATCATGTATAAAAATTTCTTCAGGTGGGTCTACTTTTGGTTGCTCATGGCTGCTGGATTTGGACTGTTTATCAGTGAAGAAGCTTTAAATGTTTGGGTCTGTCCTTTATACCGGTACCTTCAACGTGACCATGCTCAACTAAGTTCCTAACTTTATTTTCCACATGCAGTCAGACTTTAAATACAACAACTTTATATATGTGTATTCATGTACCATTTGTTTGTGTTGAGAAGCAAAGTCTTTTTCCCCTCCTGATGTAGGCTGGAATTTCTTTAGCACGAACACTTTGTTTGGATGGAACTTGGCAATCTCTTGTTACGTCATTCTCAGTTAATGCATCTTATATAGTCTCCACGGTGCTATGGATTTACTGGTGTGTGCATCTTCTGTCCTTGGTCTGTAGACTACACTGGCTTTTGTTAGCGAATACTACTGTGTTCTATTATGTTAACTCACTCATACATGCAGGGGTGTTTGTATTAGTGACATGATCCCATTCTATCTAGGGAAACTCTTCAGGCAAACTAGAGCATCAGAAGACATAAGCAGCAAGGTGTAAAGTAGGGATTTATCTCACTTTATCTTATTTATGGATAAGTTATTTGCCAAGAAAGAAAATAAAGAAGTATACATCTTCATATTTGCAAAATTATGACACAGTATTCTTGGCATAATAATGACTCTAATTGCAGTCCCCCTTTTTAGATTGGAATTGGTAAGGAGAAAGCACTAAGCATATCACGAGCAGTTCAGAAGTATGGGAACCTAATTGGCTTTGGTATACATCTGAACCCTCAGTGTTTTTTTTTTTTCTCAAGCATGTGTATCTCGGAGTGAAAGGAAGTGGAACTCCATAGAGCTTTGTGTGCAGCTTCGAAGGAAAATTAGATGATTAAGTCTGTCCAGTATTTGCAATAAGAAAAAATTCAGTACTTAAAACTAAAGTTATTAATGTCAATGTTGTTTACTGCAGTTGAACGATTTTCAATTGGTGTTCGGAATCCTACAGCATTTCTTGCTGGAGCATTGGTTAGTCAATTTGCTTGACTCTGTGACTTACCAAATACTTTATTGCTCACAAATCTCTGTCAATGACTTGCTTTGGCTGTTATAAACAGGGTATATCAGCAGACTTTTTCTTCGCAGGAGTTTGTTTCGGTTGTCTATTTACTCTCCCTATTCAGGTAAACCGACCTTTGGTTTTTCATTCTTTCTCTGTAACTTCTAAGTCGTGGGTTTAGCTAGTAGCATTAGCAAGAACCTGTCAGCTCTGTTCTGTGACAAAACAAGTGGTGCTTTGCTGCAGTTAGCAGTTGGGTTTGTCCTCCGAGAGCGGCCTGTGGTCGCCCTCGCCAGTGTCGCAGCTGCTGTGGTACCTCTCGGCGTCTCTCACGCTCCTTCCCAACTCCTTTCTCCCTGCTCCGCTTTCTGATCAGATCATGCTTGTTTTTGTTTTGTTCTGCAACCAGGGTATCTGGACCATGTTCCCATATGCAGCCGCGGCATGCACAGCGTTGTTCTTCTACTTCCGCCGACGCAAATCCAGCAGCTGAACGTGGTGATCCTTTTTCATGGCGGATAGGCAACTGGTCACGCACGCTGACCAGATCTACCTTTATATAGTTCATTTACAAACAATTTACATAGGCCTGTACATGTATGAATCATTTTTCGATCAATTGCGTTGATCCATGAAAACATTCTTTTCTCCTCTTTCGAAGGAGGATCTTTTGGTTTTGCTAGCTCAAGATGCAGAAGCATTCCATGCTAGCGAGCAAATGTAAATTTAGAATGTCATAATATTTACCTCTTAATAAGATTTTTTTTGTTTCCTTATGTTGAAGTTGATTTTTAATTTCCTTGCAAAAAAAAAAGTTGATTTTAAATTTCAAATTTTGTGAGGTGATAGATAACACCATAATTTATGTTAAAAATGCATCATTTTTTTAATCAATGTTTTGACAGGTTAGGGTATCTAATAATAAATTAACACTAGAAATCCAAAAAATGAAGCCTAATGATGAAAAATTCATAATGTAGTTTTCTGAAATAACTTATGATGTCCGTTAACACCTCACAAAATTTGAAATTAAAACTTATTAACTTATACATGGAGAAAAAACAAATATTATTAAGAGGTTTTCTGATAGAAATTACCTTGTTGTTATCCTATAAATCAGTTCAATTAAAATCTTAGTTCATACTACACCCACGATGATTGTGTCTCAAGCCAAACATAAGGCAAAGGTTCTTCGAATAAGAACTGCTTGATGATCATTTATCGAAAGAGAAAAAAAGTTCTATTTTGGACAATCAAAATTAGAAAGAAAAAAGTTTTCTTTTCCTTTAATTAAGAAGCACATGATTTTTTTTCTAGACATGCATAGACCAAACTATGGAAAGTAATGTGGACCATTTTTTTTATGGAAAAAGAAAAAATCTTTGGTCTGGCGGAGCTTCTTGGAGGCGAAGCTGGACTCCTGCCCCCTAGGATTTTTTTATTTTAAATCTTTTTTATTCAATATTTTCATAATAATCGCTCTAAAAAAAATTTGCGGATTTGACCCTTTTGGTCGCCCAGTGCCGCTAGCGCGACCAAACAACGTTATCGCGTCACATGCATTGGCGCGACAACATCTACCATGTTAGACGAAGTTTCCGACGTGAAAAACCTTGTCACGCCACTCCCTCTGATGTGACAGTATTGGGTTAAGATCTACAATGAGATCTAAGTTGACAAGGTTTTTCACGTCGGAAACGCCGTCTAACGTTGCAGATGTTGCCCGCCAATGCATGTGGCGCGACAACGTTATTTGGTCACGCCAGCGGCACTGGTAGGACCAAAAGGGTCAGATCCTCAAAAAAATTTAGGAGCAATTATTATTAAAATATTGAATAAAAAGGATTAAAATAAAAAAAAAATCCGCCCCCTACTCTGAGCTGTTTGGATGAAGGGATCAGGTGGGATGGGGATGGGATGGACCTATTAAGCTAGGCTACAGCTTATTTAGTACCAAGCCTAGGCATCAATTCATCCATTATCCAATCATGTCTCTTATATTTTGCCCCTCGTACTTGCTAGCGCCCGGGCGCTGCCCGCACAGGGAGCGAACGAGCGCCTAGCGTGTCGGGCTCGCGAGGGAGCGCATCAGTAGTGGCCCCGCGCTGCCCCGACGTCGTCCGCGCCGCTGGTTGCTTCCCGCACGCATCCTATGTGTAACACCCGTTCCACTTTTAAAACATCCAGATGCAGCAGTTGCAACATACAAAAGAAAACAGATGAAACACTTGAACCAAGCGTTTGAAACACTTGCAAAAACACCTAAAAAATATTTTAAAATCATTGCAAACATATGCAACATCCGGATGAAACAGTTGCAAGCATATGTATGAAACACCTTAAAAACACTTGAAACATATGTTTGCAACATGTAGACAAAACACTAGCAACATTTAGCCTAGGGCTTGCAAAATAATATTTAGGGCCCATTTGTAGCCTCTAGTTATTTTTTTATAAAAAACAAGCTCCACCGGTGAAATAATGAAAACCTCCCATCACACCTCCCCTACACAAGGAGGAGAGGGGACTCACTTGCCCCTCACTCATTCAGGTCTCTCCCTTATTCTCTGCTTTACTCTCTCATTTTTGTTGGCAACGTTACCAAATGTAATAATCTTGATAGACATGTTTAAGAATGTTATGATGGTAGCCCTGAACATAATGGTTGGGGTCCCCAACATATACTAAGTCCACAACAGATAAGACAAATCATATAATTTTAGAAACATTTATTGTTTAAATTAACAAAAACTTACACTTCTCTTAATCTCGGACATACGTGGATAATCTATTTGTCCAACAATATTATAGTGTTCATCATAAAATTGTCATCCAACAACTTTCCATTCATCATCAAATAAAAACCTTAGTTCTTATATTGTTTTCCAACAGACCGAATGAACAAGGTTACAATTGTATCTTAGATGGGTGAAATACAAAACTTCAGGGGACAAAAATGAATGTTAACCTCCAAAGTAACAAATAACACTTGTAAACAACACAACAGACACAAAACAGAACTGAAAATAAAGCCTATTAAAACAATCCAAACTTTAGTGACAAACAACTCATTAGCCAAAGAAGCACAAAAACGGGTGATCACATGTGCCAATGAACACCGAAATGAGTTACTACATGCTGTAAAGTTATAGGTAGCATACTTAACTTACCCAAGCCATAAACATCGATCATTGTCCTTGTTTTGGCTAATATACTTATGTTATTTGCCTATAAACAGATAAAACATTTAGAACATACACTTAAAATATACGTGTATAGCCATTACAACATTTGCAATATTTTGATCAACTTTTGCAATATTGATATACAACACTTGCAACATACAGAAACACTTGAAACATACTATTGTATCAGTGCTTTCAGCGTAGCATCTGTTTGGACAGGCTCGTTGACGCGGAGCTCGATGCCGACATAGAGCTCGAAGCCGCGGAATGGCGTGGAGGTCGCCAGTGTGGAGTTCGTCGGTGGCATAGACCTAGGCAGGGGCAGGGGCATGCGGATAGAGCACGGCCGCAACGGGAGGCGCAAGTCCGGGAGCGAGCTAGTGAGAGCCTAGCGCATCGGGCTCGCTGTGCGCAGCGGCGGCGACGGCGTGAGCGGAGGCAGTGAGGACGAAGACGGGTTCGGGCGACGCGTGCAGGGGCGGCGTGGGCGAGTACGAGTCTAGGTCCGTTCAGACAGACGCTCCACAAGCCTCGCGTCTCCTTTGTTTTAGATTAGGCTCCACCGCTGGTGACACCACAGCAACACGAGCCTCGCGTCTCCAATTTTCTTTTGTTGGACAACAGCACGAACAATAATAATCGGTCGAGGCTGGCGGCAAACCGTGCAGGAGAAAGGCGCATATACTCTTGACGATGACACGTCAGGTGTGCACTGATGATCGATCTAACGTTCTCCGCAAGGCCAAGTGTCTCGCGACAATATTCTCGCCTGGCTAGCTTAGCTATATATATCCACCATTGATGCACATGAACACTAGCTCCTCAAAACATCTCATGCACTAGTCAGGTACTGTGAAGAAAAGTACACGTACATGCCATGTCGTTTGTACACGAACCAAAGTGTGGCTCGTGCAGCTCAATCGTACCTTCACTCATGGAGTCCACGGTACAGTAACTGTTGTTAGCCAGCCTGTGCTTGACAAGGCCCTAAAGCCCCCAATTCCCAGCTAGTCGAGGCATCTCGAATTCTCGATCTCGTGCTACCGTCTATCTTACTCAAAACAAGGGAATCCGATCCCTAGACTATATTGACTGGGCTCTGCTACAACATATCAATGTTCTAAATTTCTACCACTAAACTAGAGTCTTTTCTATCCTTTGGTTGCCATTTCCCCTTGCTGCGATAGAATCCTATCCATGGCCGAGAAATACGGCCATGTCTTCATGCTTTCCGTATCCTTCTTGCTTTCCTGCCAACGTCAGAGAATTACTACTGTCAGAAATTGCAACACAATCTGAAATACATGTCAGCTATCTTGCTTGAGCAAAACAGCCTTCTATACTTGCTCCAGTGATTTTTTAGGACTCAGAAGAAACAGAAATTATCCCTAACCTCATATTTCTGAACTAACGATGTCCATAGAGATTTGCACTGTGCCGGTGTACGACTTATTCCTTGGTTCAACATGGTATCAGAAATCTCCTCCCACAGAACCATTCTTCCTTTCACGCTCTGAAATTTCTCATTCATTTCGCCACGCATCTGTATTAAGCTCTTAATTTCCTCAGGTTTCCACTTGTTCTTTTTTGAAGATTTAACTGGAGCAGGAGCTGACTGGATTGGTGAGTCCTTACCCATTATGCCAATCTTGCCCAGATTTTGTTTGTTCCCCCCATTGACAATCCGTGCAATTTTAACAGCTGTAGGGGATTTGAATGACTCCCAAAAGTGCTCCAGTGTTTTAGGCTGATGTAAATCTGAAGAGAAGAATGCTTCACCATTGGAGCTTGTGGTTGCATCATCAGGTGTTGTTCTCACGGCCTCAGGAAGGGTTTCTGTGTGACAAAGTAGTGACAGGGTTAACACAGTATCAGACAATGAAAAAGCATAGAACAATGCACAGCCTTATGAATTAATGAAAAAGTAACAAGTCAATACAAAATGAGACACTTGATGCCAGTTTGAGTGTAGGACTATACCTGCCCTGCAGATCAGTCTAAAGTTTCAAGACATGCTATGCAACACCTTATTCGAAGATACTACAGATTTAGAGTAATTCATAAGACAATTTGTTAAGAGTACCTTCAGCATCCACCTCTGGGTTGTCTGGGCGTGTTTTATAACTGCCTTCAAGACTTGTAGCTGGACTCCTGCTCAGATGGCTAGTAGCTGAGGAAGGTCCAAAATTTCCAGATGATTTAGCATCGAGGTGTTCTGAGAAACCTGCCGTGGTGTTCTCCGTAGCAACCGCAATGACATCAGGCCTCTTCCCACTATACTTCCGTACCATTTTCCTCAAGATTTCAGCTACCATCCTCTCCATGTGACTAAGTGGACAATTCACAGGACAGCTTGACAATGCAGCATGAGCTGCTTTGTAGAGTGCGTCCAACAATCTTCCATTATCAAGCCATAGACATCTTGTAGTAATCTTAAATTTTCCTTTCAAACCTGGCTGCGCTAAACCATGTTCCTTCTGAGGTCGGAAGATCTCCATGCTGCAAGGAATAAATGTTTAGGTGCACGGAACAACACTATATATGGTTTTACCATTTTGACTATTACAAAGCTCGACATAAATCACTCTCATTTCACACGAGAGGAGAAATTTTTGCTAAAGATAAACCTAGAAAATACTCCAAAACTGTACAGGAAACTACCTGACAAAAATAATGCCATCAGATGCAATTCTTAGTCTCTCATCAATGCAGAGATCAGTGGATGTACCAAAAGCCTTATCACCATCACTATACATCAGCTGTAATATCATATGTCATGTTAGACATCATCGCTGTTAAAGACAGAAAAAACGATGGTATAAAATAAATGGTTCACCTGAAGATCCTCCTTCCCTAATGAAACAAACCCATTGGACAAAACTCTTCTGTTTCTTAGATGTGACACACCAAGCATCTCACCATTTTTTATTACCTGCAATTATAGTAGCAATCTAAGAACCCTACCAATGCTAACAAATATGAGCTTTGCTGTATTATGGCAATGCAAATAATTCTTGGAATTTGAAAAAAAAAATACAGATCAAACAAGTTTCTTTTGTAAATACTCCACTGCTACTGTAGCAGAAAGGCCCTACGTTTATTGCTGTTTGTTGAAATTCAATAGCCACTGCAGACTAAGAACCATGCACATATTCTCTCCCTTGGCATACAAATCCAGAGCGCCAAGTTACTGAGATTACTTACAGTTGTGTGCCTTATGCCAGTTGATCTTCCAAGTAATTCATGTTCTTTGAGAAATAGGAGTTCTCCATGAACAGGCAAGAAATGTTGTGGTTTAACAATCCGAAGAACTTCCTCCTGCAAATAATAAATCAAAGGCCTGTTATCATCTTAAGGCAACATCACAACACCATAAAACAAGGAGAACAAAATTTACCAGCTCCTCTCGGTAGGCATGCCCAGAGGTATGCAGGCCAGAATCTTTACCCATGATAATTTTTGGGCCAAGATCAGTGAGACGATTCATCATCTTCATTACCCGTGTCTCGTTTCCAGGAATAACCTGAAAAGAAAAGTATATGCAGGACAATAAATTGCAATGCTAACTTCCAAAAGAAAAGCAATTTTTTGCGTAAGGTGGCATTCGCATTCTGGAATGATTATAAAGATTAAGGAAAAAATACAGAACTATTTCCAGATGTTTTTTTTTTCACTAGCATGTTCAGTATCATACATAAAAGGTACATTACTTCTCAATGTTTTCCACTTCTAGTACATTTGGTGTCATTTTCCAGGCATTATCTTGACTAAAAGTAAATAATAATTTGTACAAGCCTTCAAATATGAAAATAATTTTCTTCATAATATAAGCAAGTCCTGTTCAATACAGCTGCCAGCATTAAGAGCACCCACTTATGTGAATATATAACCAATATAAAACAGGCCTAGATAGCTAACATGTATAACACCTCCCATGTGACTAATCTCAAATACTGTGAAAGCTATCAGGAAAATAAAGTGAAGGATAAATAGTAATACCTTAGCTGAATAAAGAAGGACATCCTCTTTTGATAGTTTAAGAGCATGACTTCCCCCATAAGATGCAAGATTCAGAGCTGCACGTGGCTCTCCCTGGCAAATTTGAATACAGAGATGCAAGAGTTTTAAGGTGGCTGATGAGAGCATTTGAAAAATTTAGGCCTATAGCATGTATGTCTTACTTGTGAACCCGTAGTGACGACCAGAAGATCTTTAGGGGCATACGCATCCATGTCCTCTGCCTTGACCTGCAGGATGTTTCAACTATGCAATTAGGAAGACTACATTCTGTAAAATCATAATATGTAATGTCAAAAGATTGCACCAACAGAGAAATCATGTAGCATATCTATGTGTTGACGTCAACTTAAGGTAAACTATCATGATATCTGAAAATAACTCAACCATCAAGTCAGACTATTACTCATAATCATTTAACATGCCTAAGCATTTGCACACGACAACTGAGATTGCAATTGTTTCATTATATGTTTACATTAAATAAACTCAAGTCCTCCCAGCAAGAACCCATAGATGGTGCCTGCTAGTAGCAGGATATTTAAACAAAAATTGCTTGCATACATTTTTGCCAGGACATCGAAGGATCTGCTGGCCATTAACAAAGAAGGAAACACTGACCCGCTGACGAATGTTAAGGCAAATAGAAAGCTATGCACCTGGATAAATACAATCAAGAATCAATTACTCTATAAGCTGCCAGACCTGCTGCAAAGTCAACCGTCTGATAATATTGGCTAAAAGATCCACAGACCCAAATGGAAGCATCAAGTTACTCTACAAGGTGTCAGGCTTGATGCAACTAGCACTCAACTATTTGAATGTGATGGGCTAAAAGATCTGCGTACCCAAAGGTAGCAGAACTACTTTTCCAATTTCCACCACTATTAAATCGCCACCTACCCACGTTAAACTGAAGCAAATAGCACTCAAACACCTTCAGTGAACTCCGATGAGTTCTGTATATATTTTCTTATAAGGTATATGATAACATGTGAGGTAAAGTAGATAGCTGAAGCTAATAAAACTATAGACTATAAAAGGACGCAGAAACAAATTATTCTCACAAAGGATGTCAGCGTATGTCGATACTAGCATACCAATTGCATGTATCACAAAAGGAAAAAAGTCCATTCAAAATATTGCATCATTCATAACATCATAGTAGCAATAAACACAAAGAACATTTAACTAATCTAATAAAGTTGCAGCATACCAAGGTTGATGGATCCAGTGGTGCCTTTCCATCCTTGAAAGCAGCTTCAAGGTATGTCCTGAGTGACATTCCAACAAACACCTGTTCTAGCCCACCGAAACTACAAACTAGTTAAAACATCATCGAAATTGAACATAGTAAAGTAACACTCTGTCGAATCAAAATTTCAAAAGATTACCATTTTTCGACCAGTTAAATCTGCAGCAGCTTTGATGCTCCCAATTCGATGTATGTTTGAGGCGAATTGTGTCGTAATTACTCTTCCTTTTGCTTCCGAAATATGTCGCAACAATGAACCAGCAACAACAGATTCGCTGATTGATCTTCCAGGGGATAGAACATTTGTTGAGTCACTCATCATCTTGTATTAGGGAGAGGGGGAGGGGAGGAAAAGAAAGAAGCAATGTCAGGAACATATCAACAAAGAGCTGCTCATATTAGTATAGGTCAGACCTAGGTGAACACTTCATTAATCTATTGATACTGCACAACTATTCCTAATCTTTTAATATGTTCATACTTCATAGCTGCATGAATGCATCTTTGAAGCCAGACAACATGTGTGCAACCGAAATCAAAGACCTTCATTCAACAAACAAAAGTAATCCATATGCACAAGATATTGGATTGACTTACAAGAGTAACACCTTCTTTGGAGAGCTCCTCCAATGCTTGTCGGTCAAAAAATTTTCCATCCAAGGGTGATTCATCAATCTACAAGAGAAAATAATAAAGTTATGTAAAATAGTCAAAAGTCTCTACATAAATTCTAGTAATACACTTATTGCTGATCTAACTTACTTTCCAGTCACCAGTATGGAAAATTATGCCATCACCACAGCGAAGCACTAAGCCACAACAGTCAGGAATTGAATGAGTTACACGGATGGGTTCGACTTCAAAAGGTCCAGCCTGAAATCTCTTTTTAATTCTTAAAACCTTAAGCCTGGATGAGAGGAAGATCCCAAACTCCTTCAAACGCTTCTTTATTAGCTGCCCAATTATCAATAATGCATCTCAAAATTCTGAAGATCTAAAAATTTTATGCAGGTCGTTCAACAGGGCAAAATGGCAATGATGTGACTAGCCATCAAAACAATTTTCAGTGTTACCTCCATGGTGAAAGATGATGCAAAAATCGGTGTTGTTGAATCGAGTGCTGGAATGACCTATTAACAGTAAAAATGTTTGAAGGGAAATAAGAGCTTATGATAATTCCAAATACAGATAGAAACTCAGCGCAATTGCCGCAATAGATTACAAGGATCTGCATAATATCCAGATATCACATTCTCCGCAAAAATAAATATCCAGATACCATGTCAAGTACTTCCATATTGAGATAGGAATTCAAAAAACATCAGCGGACATATGAAGAAGACCTCACACAGGTTGAGAAAACCCCCAAACCCCTACCCCACCCATACATAGCAGCACCATAGCCCATGTGAGAACGACCATGACCCAGACCGGCCTTAGACCTGTGCTTTGGCGTGGGACAGACGAGAGGATTTTTTTAACCCCAGCCTGAAATTCGCTCCAACAGGAGTCGAACCCAGGACCTGAGATGTCAGATAAACAAAACAGTATCACTTCAGATGCCAGATATGTCCCTCAAATTTAGATAATTCACAACGAATAAATTCAGAAACTACGTCGGCTTTGGCCTATTTTCTAAAGAACTGCAACTTTTCTGATTTATTTTGCAGAGACACACCTTCAACTACACTAGGTATTGCTCTCACAATAATAATTACATCACATGTTATCCATCTGATATTGCAGCCCTACCTGTCATACAACACTCCCCTAACCCTACTCATTTGTTGTCAAAGGATACATTGGCATGGTCCCATTCGTCTTATGAAGCACCTCGCCTTGCTTAGTTGAAACGGGACCATGGTCTATGACAAGCAGGTGCAGGATTTCAGAATTGTTGGCCGTGACAGAATTTAAGCGTTGTAACAATGATGCTCAGTGTGGCAGTAGCTCAACACACAGAAGTTGGCTGGCACTAGAAGTTATAGTTCTTTTGAGTATTGAGTCAAAATAATCCATTATCCATTAATTTATAACTGAATCTTGTTCTGCCTTTAAAGCAGAGGTAATTGTGAAGGAACCTCTTTCTTATATCGTGGTTATACAAGACAATGACTATTTCCTACATATTAGAAGATCTTGCTAATCAAATCATTGTGGCACATTACTTCTGTTTGCATTTTGTGTGGGACATCTCTGGCAATGCCAAGGTTTGGTGCCTTCATGGTTATACAAGATAATGACTATTTCCTATAAATTAGAAGACCTTGCTTATCAAATCATTGTAGTACATTACTTCTGTTTGCATTTTGTGTCAGAATCTCCGGCAATGCCAAGGTTTGGTGCCCACCGGGAGCAAAATGATTGAGGGTTCTATGGCTGTAGGTTGGATCTTTCAGTTGGCCATTCTCATTTCTGTTCATGGCACCTATGTCCAAAGAGAAACTAGGGTGTTCCTTTTTCTTTGTGCATGTGTTCGTTGTACTCGAACCATTTTACTCCTTAATACAATGACGTGGAGCTCTCCTACAGAATCGAGAAAGAAAAAAATATTCATGTTTACAAACAATATAAAGGTGGCATCGCATTGATGGCGCATTTTGTTGGATTCAACTGACATCGATCTGATTAATATCAGCATAAAATGATCTGGACCACAATATATCATGAATTATGTACTACAACATTTCAAACCAAAAAAAGAATATCCATCCAATGTTTCTGTAACTTACACTAAAATTCAACAAAGGAACAAGCAGGTACCAAATTAACATGATGAAACAAGTACCACAAATTCTCCTTTTCGCTGTTTAGACAATTAGACTGTAGAAGGAGCTGAGACTCAACAAAGGGTTGTTGGTTTGCATGTGACTAAAGTATTAAAGTGTGTCGCAGATCATAGCCAAGCAAACATGATGAATTCGAATGGTTTACTCAAGAAGCAGGAGAATTATTTACCCAAGGCAACGCACCGATGTGATCTTCATGGCCGTGCGTGATGATAACTGCTTCAATTTTGTGGCTCCATTTCTTGATGAACGTAGTGTCTGGGATAATCTTTTGCACACCAAACTCATCATAACTGACACATTTTTAAACAGACTCTAATTCAGTGAAAAAACAGCATACGTGCTAAGGAAAATGTATACAGAATACATCTATAATGTGCAGAAAATGCTGAGTTGTTATGTGGCAGGGCAGTGTGATAGACATAGACTACAAGAGACTTATTTACTGAAGCCCTCTGCTCATACATACGACTTTCTATTATACAGGAACATTACTTGAGCCTAAGCACAGAACTGCAGAAAAAAATGCTAATTGCTAATTCAGTATCCAGCAGCATGATACAATATAAATGATTATTTATCGAATTTGTTGACAATTTTTTCACACATGTGGGCGTCAGGAAGGAAAAAACTTAAGCCATTACACACACATATTTATATAAGAAAAGGCATTAAAAATAATGGGAGCTGAACTGTAGTGTAAGCAGGAGAAAGATATCGTCTCGATTACTTACTCTGGGAACATAACCCCAGCATCAATCAAGATATATCGGTCATAATTCCCCACGAGCATGCAATTCATGCCGATTTCCCCAAGACCGCCAATAGGGAGCACTCGCAGAGGAGGACCATCGGCCCCTTCATAGAACTGCTCCATCTTTCGCTTGACCGAATCTTCCAAGCTCTTGGTGGCACCCTCGGTTTTCCTCAGCCTTCTTCGGGGTGTTCTAGATTCCTGGGGCCCTGCACACATCAGGAGAGAGTTCCCTTGTCCTGTGAATATCTATGAGCGCAATAATAATGCATTTGCACATTACATAGGTTACTTTTGAATCCCTATATCACATTACAACCAAAATATCCTGTCGAAGTGATGGAAATATCCTGTTGAAGAAATGGAACCGAGATGCTTTGCAAAGTAAAATGGTAAGTGTCATAAACATTTAACTGAATCCTAATTAGCCTTTTGAAATTGAACAGGTACTGGCAGCAGCCGTGCGTACCTTTCCCTGAGGAGGACGGGGTCGCGACGGCGCAGCACGAGATGGAAACGGCGGCGGATGAGGAGGGGGAGGCGGAGGCAGCGCGGCGGCGGGCGACTCCGCAGGGGCAGAGAGACGAGAGTGAGGCGAGCGCCACCATGGCGGCGGCGGGACGCTCGAGTCGCTCGCTCGGGCCCGTCCGTCCAACGCCCAGGATAAGAAAGGCGGTGGCACTGGCTGTAATTTTCACTGAAACAAATCAAAGGGTTGCTGTGCCAGAAGGAAAAGAGAATGGTTTCTGCTTGGATTCTCTGTCCGACAAATGGCGTTCGAGATTTGGATTGGGCAAGGGCGGCAGCTTGGCCCAAAATATCTCTTTTATCCACTTTTTTACAAGATTTTTCTTTTCGGCTCTACGCTAATTGTACAGTACTAAGAAAAACTTAAGCCACTTATGAATATATTGATTTTTTCTGCATCATTTCTCATATTTTACCTCATTCGTTTATAGATGAAAATATATAGTGTGTGCTTTCGGTCAAACAGTTGAAAACACCGTATCAGTACTCTTCGTCAACCATGTAAAATGTAAAGATTATTATAATCAATTTGGTATTGAAATACAGAATTTACAAAATCAAATCTCCCAATATATATAGATTAAGCTCTATTTTTCCTAAGGATGTATTAAGCTTATATATCTTATTACTATGGAATGAAGTGGAATGTATATCTCTTGTGGCTATTTATAGCTACTCCCTAAATCCATATCCGCATCAAAATGGGTATGGTATGGACAAAAATTGTAGGACATAGGTATAGCCACATGTCTCCAATAGTGATCATATGAGTAAAATGCACCCAGAGTCCTTAAACTTTTTGGGTTTTCCCATCTGGGTCCTCAAACTAAAAAAGCGACTATTTGGGTCCCTGAACTATTGTCACCGTGCACCAATGGTCTAAAATCTGCCATGTCAGTACTAACATCTAACATGGCGGTGCAGTGAGTGAATTTGGACGACGTGGCCATACTACCTTCTAAAACAAACCGCCACGTACTCTTACTCACTCCCAAGTCCCTCCTCTCCATCCAAGGCGGCGGGCGGCGGGCCACGAAGGTGCCGTCGCTTTTTATAGGGGCCGCAACCATGGAAGCGTGGTCGCGCCGATGTCTCCGGTGGTATCCGCCCGCGAGGGCCACGGTCATGGAGCAGAGCGGCGAAGAACGGGCATTGGCTATACAACCCGAAGACCGACGCAAGCGATCCTCTCGGTGTCGGCCGGCTGCTGGCGTGCACACACAATGGCGTCTCGCCTCAACGTGCCTAGGGATAGCATATGAGCTTCTCCGACTTCCGAGTTGACTCCATCTCGGCGTTGAGCAAGGAGCGCAAGGCGGTTCTTGGGTAACTACTACGCGATCGGGACTTCACGTTTCGATTCTTCCGAGAAACAAGGAGTGACCGGGTATGCTCGGTTAGTAGCCATTGGCTCGCCTTGGTTGAAACGCCGCCGCCGCCGCGCCCGCGGTGCCGGGTCCTGGCGAGTACCTCAGTACATCAGGACTTCGTGATGCGTTCGGGCTCATGAACGAGCGTCGTCGGAGCTCAACACCAAGGTCTGCTGACGTCGGTTCTGGCGGCGGCGGCGCGATAGCCGACGATGGCATGATGCGCCGGACGGTGAGGTGCTCGTCGAGACATGGTGATCGATCGCGTGACGGCGAGGTGGTCATCGCGGAAAGGGTGTTCGACCCTGTCGTCGTCGTGGCCGCCGACGATCGCCTGACCAAGACTCCCAACCATCGCCGGTATGGACAAGTGGACGAGGAGGCAGCTGCATTCCCACTCGTACCGCGTCCCGGACTCCTTCAGCGTCGTCGGCCTCGGAGAGAGTGACAAGGAGATCACGCTGTAGCTCCGCGAGGTGGCGAGAGAGGTGCATATCAGTGTCAAGTTCATGGACGACGCCACCGTTGTCTCCGACATGAGGAAAGCTCTGTCCAGGAACCACAACCTGCACCTGATCCAGCTAGCATCCTGGTGTCACCTGACCTGACTAATGTGATCGATCTTTGCTTTGCATTTCGCAGATCGAGTGCTTGTGTGAGGATGGGCAAGTAACGTTCGCCGATGGCTCTCATCGCGGGCACGTTCGCCATGGTCGCTGGGCGCGAGCTCACGATGTGCCACCGCCGGGATCGAGCTCACGATTTGTCGTGGACGCCGTGGGGCGTGCGTGCCCGGGCAGCGGCGCTCTGCCCGCCGCCGTGTCCCCGCAGCTGCCACCTCCGTGCTGCCGGCAGCAATCTCCATGATTGTGCGTGGGCAAGCGAGCACGGGCTCGATGCCGCAGCCGCCAGGTGGGCGCACGAGCAAGTGCCGCCGCCAGGCGGGCGAGGCGCCATGCCATGCGGACGAGGGAGCAACAGACGGACGAGGAGGCAGGTTTTTTTAGAAGATAGCATGGCCACATCGTCGAGCTGCCACTGTGGCACCACCACTTTGGATGCTATGTGTGGACGTGGCAGGTCTTGGACCATCGGTGTATGACGACAATAGTTCAGGGACCCAAATAATCGTTTTTTTAGTTTGAGGACCTAGACGAGAATGCGGTAATAATTTAAGGACCATGGATGCATTTTACTCGTGATCATATTGTACTCCAACTCCAAGTATCTCTTTCCTATTAGCTTGATCCTTATCCAATATACTCCGATGGGTGTGGAAAAATAAGTATGGATGCCACTGGGAAGGATGAGGAATAGATAATGATGACCTCTATCTGAATGTGGACAAGTATGATTGTGCAAAATGATTAGTTTAATTGATCCGTGTCTCATAACTTTCGTTGTGTTCATGTTCATTATGTTCCGATGATATCAAGTTTGAGGATGTTTTTTTTCTCATGGCTATGAACTATGAACTCTCAAAATATGGTTCCTTTTTTATGACTTCTTGCACTTCTATTCATAGATCATGGAGTGGTTTTCATGCCTTTTGTTTTCAATAGTTTTCTATGAAGTTATAGTGAGGATAACATTAGACGGTACATATAAAGTATTTGATATTTTTTTCATGGGTGCAGTTCAAGTGCCCGTTTCAAAAATCAAGGAGGCAAGTTAGATGGGCACCAATCTTGTGGGCAACCTGGTTGAGCGTTTCAAATGGATGCAAATCTAGCAACTGAACCTGAACATTCTTCTTCTTCTTCTCTCTCTGGGGAGGAGGATCTTCTGTGTTTTGCTAGCTCAAGATGCACAAGCATTCCATGCTAGCGAGCTAATGGAAATTCAAAATGTCATATATGCACCATCATCAAGTCCTTGTATAATATATATTGGTTCTTGATTGTGATTTTGCCACTGGGAAAAAAATCATAATTTTATATTTACCAACGAAAATATCGATAAGCTTTTTCTATTGATTTTTCTTTAAAATTCTTGCATTTCCAACAACGGAAGAATGGAGAGCCAGTGGTGACAAAGTATATTTGTATTCCTCCTTTTCAGTAGCGTAAGCCACATAAGAGCACTCCTAGCCCGGAAACTAAGATAATTCATATGTTCATTAATTATAGTGTCAATCAACTAAGAAAAATAGTGACGTTGATTGGAATTAAAAAAAGAGAGAAGAAAATAATTTATTAGATAATAAACTAGTACGTCTACACGAGAACCAAGATGATATAATAGCTAGATAATAAAGAAAAACATGTAATTGGAGATAAAAGTATTTTAACAAAAAAAAAACTCAAAACTATGTGCATGTCATAAAAACTAGTACGCGTGGTTTCTTCTTGTGGATTAAAAAAAACTGCCTTAACGCTGCCCTAACCAAACAATTGGGTTATTTTTTTTTTTATATAAAACTATTGGGTTATTACGATTGACGAAGATCAAATGAAAACGAATCAACGACCGGCGGCCTGTTCGGGAGGATATCGGATTATTGTTGGTTGGTTAATTTAGCGTGAAAGAAAAACACTATTTTCCGTCTGGAAAAAAAATTTACGATCGTTTACCGGCATGCGAACAGGCGCCGGACCGACCCGCCTCTTTTCGCAGGAAACCCTCAACTTCTCCGCTCCCTTCGATCCACCCCCGCATCACAGGGAGTCCTCCACTTCACTCCTGCCCACTTCCGGCGATGGCCGGCCGCCTCCCGGGCGCCGCCGCGTCCTCACCGCTGCCCCGCGCGCTCCTCCTCCTCGCCGCGCTCGCGCTATTCTCCATTTCCTTCCTCTCACTCCGCTCCCTCCGCCCCGCCGCCAAGTCCCGTCCCCTCCTCCGGCTCCAGTCCTCCTCGTCGGTGTACCACTCTCCGGAGGCGTTCGCGGCGGGGTACGCGGAGATGGAGCGGAGCTTCAAGGTGTACATCTACCCGGACGGCGACCCCAAGACATTCTATCAGACGCCTCGCAAGCTCACGGGGAAGTACGCCAGCGAGGGCTACTTCTTCCAGAACATCCGAGAGAGCCGCTTCCGCACCGACGACCCCAACCAGGCGCACCTCTTCTTCGTCCCCATCTCGCCCCACAAGATGCGCGGCAAGGTGGCTTCCCTATCTCACTTGGACTCTATCCATCTCGCTGTAACCCAGTACTGATGGTATTAGTCGTTGGCGCATTGGATTAATGTTGAACTGTCCTTAGCGTGCCCCAAACCACTTTGCCATTGGTCGCCCATGTGAACATTTGCTAATGTCAAACATTGCCTCATAGGAGTTAGGTTATTCTGAATCTTTTGGTTAGCATAATGCGTAGTGTAGTTACAATCATCTTTCTTGATTGGTTGCATTGTGATGCTTCCACTAAGGTTTGGACAAATCATGATTAATGGTTTGACAGGGGCCAGGGGGAGTAGAATCTGTGGAATTTCCATTTTAGTTGAGCTTGCACTTGTAATGGGTTATTGTAGTATGTTAATTAATGTGTGCCTATGGCTGCTGATTGATTTGGTAGGTTATCACTTTGATGTAAGATCCTTGGTTCTTAACTTGTTGTTTCACTATAATTGCAAGTCATTTGTTTTTCCCTCTGGGATACCTGTTGAGTTTTCATTTTCAAATTTAAGGAACCCTGTATGATTGATATGCTTATTATATTCATCTTTAATTTCTGCTCTTGCTTCCTTGTAACGGTAGTTATGTACGTGTGTTGTTTTGGCATTGCAGGGTACTACATATGAGAATATGACGGTGATAGTTAAGGACTACGTAGAAGGTTTGATAAACAAGTATCCTTACTGGAACCGGACACTAGGAGCAGACCACTTTTTTGTCACCTGCCATGATGTGGGTGTGAGAGCATTTGAAGGACTTCCATTCATGGTGAAAAACTCTATTAGAGTTGTATGTTCGCCAAGCTATAATGTTGACTTTATACCGCATAAGGATATTGCCCTTCCTCAAGTGCTACAGCCGTTTGCCCTACCTGAAGGAGGAAATGATATTGAGAACAGGTTAGTGATTGTTCAGTACAAATACTGTGGAGAATTCCTTGTATGTTTATCCTAATGAATTTTCAAGATTCTGTTAGTGTTCTTGGCCTTTCATTTACTCTTAAGGCTATAATGCCACAAAAAAATGGGAAAAAAATATTCAAATGTCAAATGAAAACTCTATATGGAACACACTTACTTGCGCGGTTCTCTCCTCATTCATGCCTTGAAGTGTACATGGTTTCACACTGCCCATTGCTCGAAGCTAGTGCTAAGAATCACTTAGGTATAGGAAAATTAGAAGTTGATTGCAGCTGTGGACTTGTTTTTGCCACCTTATTAAAATATAATGCTTGCATGTTGTTTAATTATGGCCTCTCTCCTTTTTCTCTCATTAATCTTTATTACTTTCACACATCACATTTATGACTAAATATTCATACAACTAGTCATTGTTATATTCCCAAGGCAACAATACCCTGGGCGCCATGGTCATTTTCTTCTACCATTCTCCTAGCTTTAAACGTTTCTTGTGTCCCAACCAAAATACATCTCAGAAAAAGAACTGGAGGGACTACATCATAAACTCTATCTGTTAGCCTATTACAAATTATATTTTATTATTGTTTTGCAATTCAATCAGGACAATTCTTGGCTTTTGGGCTGGCCATCGCAATTCCAAAATAAGAGTTATCCTAGCACGAGTTTGGGAAAATGACACAGAGATTGCTATCAGCAACAATCGGATCAGTAGAGCTATCGGAGAGCTAGTTTATCAGAAGCAGTTTTACCGTACCAAGTTCTGTATCTGTCCTGGTGGTTCTCAAGTTAACAGTGCCCGTATATCTGACTCAATACACTATGGTTGTGTTCCTGGTTAGTATTTCTACTTGTAAACTTTGATGGTGCATCTCGTTGTTCTTTCTATTTCCTTTTTATGGGAATAGAGTATTTTAGTTCCTTCCTGATTACATTGTTCTGATACATATTCTTCTACCCTTTTAGTTATTCTGTCAGACTACTATGACCTGCCTTTCAATGATGCCCTTGACTGGAGAAAGTTTGCGGTTGTACTTAGGGAGAGAGATGTATATCAACTGAAGAATATCTTGAAATCAATATCACAGGAGGAGTTTGTTTCATTACATAAATCTCTAGTTCAGGTTTGTTTGTTCTGAACACCTGTACTCTTACTATACTATGTTCTTTGCATTCACTGTTCTACAAAAAAGTAGGTCCAGTTACACTTGGCAGCATTGAAATTTAAAATATTGAATTAGACTAATAGGAAACCGATCTATAATATGACAAAATAACAGTAATATGTCAGTAGCAAATTAGCTACTCTGAAGTTTATTTGTGTAAGAAGTGTGCTTTGCCAATTGTTTTTGCCATAGTTCTCTGAAATGTCAGTTTGAGATAACTAGATTCCTAACTAAATTACAGTTTAGTTTCGCACTAACAAGTTAAATTACAATACAGGTGCAGAAACACTTCGTGTGGCATTCACCTCCTGTCTCCTACGATGCATTCCACATGGTTATGTATGAACTGTGGCTGCGTCATAATGTGATAAAGTACTGAAGCCTCAGCCTCTGAGTTTTGATTGCTAACCTAAATGACTGATCCATGATCCATCAGAAAGACACTACCAAGTCTGACAGCCTGCTGGTACTACCTTGAAAATGGGCTTTTGGTTCTTTTGCTCTCAGAATCTCCAGCTGGATGGATATTGAATATAATGTTTGCTATGCATGGTGCAATGGAGAGCATGTCCATGAAGGAGCTGGCCATTGTTCAGCATATATGACAAAACTGATGGATTGGTTGATTCTTTTTAACAATAGTTAGCTTCCTGTATTGCAATCTTTTCCTCTAGATATTTCTTATATTTCGCGGATCAGCTTGGTTGATTGCATGTAGGTTTCTGAGTTTCTCACGCAATTTTTTGTGTTCATTGGCTTCAGGCATGTAAGTAATGTACAATATTATTGATGAGAAACATAGTTTAATTCCTTCTGACTGAACAGATAGCTGTTTGTTGTGACAAACAAATCATCTGATTTTGTGGCCTTCTTGATTTTTCAAGCCCCTAAAAAAAAATTGTTAAGCCAATTTTGACCTTTTGGTGTGTCAGTGTGTGTGTTGGGGGCAGGGGGTTGTTTACAAACTGGTGCCAAATACAAGCATTTTGATATAGGAGATGAATATAATTGATCCAGGAGGGATGGATTTGGGTTGGGTGAATGTGAATAGTAGCAAAATGGTTTGCCCACAAACTTGCAGTACCTGATTTCTTAGGTATGCAACACAGTATCCATGTAAAATTTCAAATCACCAGGCACTCTCGAACACAAAACATTATCTTGTATTCCCTCAGTTCCAAATTATAAGACGTTTTGGTTTTTAGTGTATACACTATGTCTAGATATGTAGTAAAAATAATGTATCTAGAAAGCAGATACATCTGCATCAATAAGCAAAATACTTGTGCTTACTGTGACTATAGATATTGCTACCATACATGCCATGTGTTACTGATTATCATAATGGAATAGCAGTCCAAATCAAGGATACAGCCAATTACTAGGTGAATCACTGGAAGACTCGCTTTACCTCTCTTTACTGCAGATATATTTCTTACAACACAGACTTATCAGTAATACCTTTTACATTGTATCAATGAACTATGTTGTTCATGAGCATATCAACATGGCACGCATCATTTTCTTTCATAGAGAGGTGGAAAGTACACGAGCCAGCCTTCGGCAGTACCAGCTTTATATAATGTTCAGTAGTACCAGCTAGTGATCACTTGATAAGGATGCACCTAATGGGTGAGCCATCACATCCAATAAGTCTGAGAGGTAAGCAGTGCAACATATATACTCCAGTCTTTACATGGTCTAGTTTGAGACCTTCGATTGGTATTATGTCCTGAGAGAACAAAGTAAACAAATCAACCAATTATTCAAGCTAGCCAATGATACGTGTCATGAACACAGGTCGATGGTACAGATGAAATATTCCATGATTCAAATGTATATAAGATGTTAGATGACATGTCCAATCCATTCTGATTATCACCTACACTATACATGAAGTGGAATGTTCTTTGGCGAAGCAAAACGAAGCAAGGACAACCCCCCAAAAGATTACCTGGCATGGAATTCTAGAGCTAATACTTAGCTAAACTTGTTAACTTGCAAATTTAATGCATGCTTTTTTATTACATTAATTAATAACCTTGACATGTAATTTTTCTGCAGTAGAATAGTGCAATGATGCTACACACAAGGTGGGAAACTGCATTATCTTACTCGTCTATTTAAAAAGACCAAATGGGCTGATATCAAGTGATCAAATGCCGCAACTGATAGATAGTCAATCCCTGCATAGTTTCCATATCAGTAAGTTAAGTACTATATTTCTTGTATGTTTATATCAGATAGTCAATCCCTGCATAGTTTCCATATCAGCAACTGATTCATCAAGTAGCAAAAAGTCAAAGAAACAATTATTCACAATTCCAGGTTCCTAGATAGTCAGCAACTCTGAATCGAGATAAAAAAAAAAGTTACGGACAGATGGAAACTAGCACACGAGAGAAACCAACCTTCATTCAGACAGTACAGTATTAGTGTTCATATGCTGTCAGGGTTATAATTTCTTACCAACTAGCTTGATGTCAGTGTTGTCAACTAACCATTGTGCACCATCCTCTGTGAACCCAACAAAACTCGTGTCAATTTCCTTGGTCCACATTAGCTTCCTGGAAAACATTTGCTTGCATGTTCAGCAGTCTACACAACAGCTGTCTAATGATATTTGAATTTTGCAATGTTATATCCTGATGAAGAAGAGCCATACCTGTCAGTGTTTAGTGTTCTGAAAAGAACTCGGCGAATTCCTTTCGTGATATTTAGGGACTCCATTGCTTGAGCTACATGGAGTAAGTGGGTATTTAAGACACTAGGTACTATTCATGCTACTTTTACATCTTAAAAGGAAAACTAACACTTGTGTGACTAATGCTAGTCTATCAGTTTGTTCACTGGAACCAAACACAGCACGATCGTGCACATGATGATGCATTTGATAGAGAAATTGGTATCTCTGTACAATAATACACGTTTCCAAGGAAGTTTGTATGGATGTTTATTAGAATGATAAATAGCACTCACGTGGTAATTCATCGGATAAGTTGATAGAGGAGCTAGTTCATAGAAAACATTAGTACGCGTGATATACCTGTTATATTTGTGTGCCTCGGAACATCAATGAGTAACGCAGGCCCTGTCCAGAAAGAAGAATCAAACTCTGTCAAATCATACATGAGAACATCAAGGGTTTGAATCCATTTTTACATGCAGAATGTTGAAGTAGAAGACAGAAATTTGGAATGGTTTGAATGGGTTAATCCTCATACAGAAGTCCTACAGAATTTATGTAAAATCCCTGCATTCTAAACATGGTGTAAACAGTACTAGTACAATATATTCAGTCAATTTTGCATCCATTCTGAACCTGACAATGTGCCCTGCAACTGCAAGAAACGCACCCATCCCAGGTTCAGACTAGTGATGTTTCCTCAACTCAACCGGGGGAAACATTCGCGATACCAGAAATCCAGAATCCATCTTGAAACGGAGGAACACACTCAGCCTACCATTCAGGACGTCGAGGTCGAGCTTGTCGACGCCGAGGCCGGCCTCGAAGTGCTCCTGGACCATGTGGCCCGGCGCGTCGACATGGGTCCCGGAGTGCACCACCATGCGTAGCTCCGACACGTTGTTGACGGAGCCGTTGGCCATGGACTCCGTGAGCCGGGTGACCGCGCCAAGCCCGTCCCGCCCGGGGAACGGCAGCTCCGGCCGGTACGCGTGCGTGATGTCCACGATGCGCCCGCCGCCGTACTCCTCAAGCCCCGCCTCCACGGCAGAGGCCGCGGCGGGACCGTAGGCGGTGGCGTCGGCGTACGCCGGGTGGGCGGCGCTCATGCCGCTCCCCCGCGCGACAGGAACGCGCGGCACCACTGTTGAGGCGAGCAGGAGCATCGCCATCAGAAGAGAAGCAGACATGGCCACGAGCTCGCAGTCCAGACGACCAGAAGGCGACGGCGCGACGCAGTCCAGAAGACCAGAAGACAAGAAGATGAGCGCCAACTGAGCAATAATGTTACGGCAACTGAGCTGTTTGGACGCCACGGCTTTTGAGAGGCCTGGTCCCTGGGGGTTTCCTTCAGCATTAAGCGATTCTTGATTTCTTTCAGCATCTGCAGCACAGGTCAGGTCAAACAGGTAGCTTGAGTTCCAGCCTTCTGTTCGTCGTCTTCCTCAGCGAAATGACAGGTACCGGTTTTCTCCATTTCGAAGAGAAAATTGTTGCACACGGCAGATATGATCGCCACTATCAACAACCAATTGCCAAAATACTATGCATGATGCCGATTCAGAAGTCTAATACAATTGGGTTCTGAAGTCTCGTCTCTTCTTTCAAAACTTATACTGATTTCTGCATTTGTTTATATCACAACAGGAGAACGCAATAGCACCAATTTAAATTCCTGTCAATTTCTTAAGTGGGATCAAACCCTTGTTGCAACTAGCATTTATTTTGGGACAAATCCTCAATTTATTTGATTTAATTAATTATAAACGAGCCAAGCCCAATTAAATTCAACACATGGCAGATGTGAGGCAACAAGCAACAACTAATTGCCAAAATAAAGGCATGATACTAATTCAGAAGCTTAATTGGGGGCTGAAGTCTTGCTTCTTCTTCTTTTCAGAACTTATGTTGATTTCTGCATTTGTCATTCGTGAAGCACGAGGTCTCAGCCTCTCAGGCCTCTAGTTTACAGTCAACTGTAGTCTGTAGGTATGTCTTACATTACCGGCTTACCAAAAGGAATTTTCTTGATGGAAGTATTGTTGTTTCTTTATTGTCCACACAAGCATATATACATGGGGTACACAACATTTTCGTTCATATAGACGGGGACTGCGAACCAATGCGTTGGCCACGATGAAGCATCAGCTCAGCTGGCATGATACAGTGTCACCTCCAGCAAGAGCAGGGAATGATCACTTGATGAGGATGCATCTGGTCGGTGCACCCTCGGCTCCAACCAGCCTGAGAGGTAAACAATGCAGCATGTATATTCCCGCCTCAATGTCGTCTAGTTTCAGGCCTTCAACAGGGATTATATCCTGGTATAATAAAGGGAAAATTAATCAATGGTTTACATGCTATGCGATAAGCAAACTTTTTTTTTTGAGTTATGTAGTCACTAGTCAGTAACGCCGCTTGACAATTGACATGGGAATCTTCTGCGGTAGAATAAGGGAATAACAGAATGAGACTACAGGTATGCTAAATGCAGCCAAAGTTATCTGGGTGTGCCTGAAATGTTTTGGTCAGCAAACTATATGTATCTTACCGGGGTTTTGAAGAAGACCACATGGGCAGAGATCAAGTAATCAAATGCTGCAACTGATAGACCATCAACTCCTGCATAATTGACAGTAGCAGTATTTTGTAAGTTTCAACTGACCCACCAAGAAATATCTGAGAACAAATTGAAAGTTTGTCCCCAACTATGGATTCCTGGCAAGTGTGTGTCAGGTTCATGAAAACGAAATGTTATGAATAGATAGCAACCAACACGTAAGGAAAACAAAGCTTTGTCAGTGACAAAAAATAGGAAGAAAAACGAGGTTTGCCTCAATTTGTATGCAGCCAGGGAAATAATTTCGTACCAATTAGCTTTATGTCAGTGTTGTCAACTAACCACTGTGCGCCATCCTCTGTAAATCCAACATAGCTCATGTCACCTCCCTTCCTCCACATCAACTTCCTAAAAGACATTTCCTTACACGTTCAGTGCAGTCCATAAAATGGTTGTCTAGTGCTATTTGAATGGTGTAAATAAACACATAAGCCACACCTGTCAGTGTTCAGTGTCCTGAATAAAACTCGGCGAACTCCTCTCGGGATATTTAGGAATTTCATCGCTTCAGCTGCATAGAGTTATTGGGGTTTAACATACCTATATACTACTAGCAGTAAATCCTAGGCAGCAAACATAGGCCTATCCTCTGGAGCACACTAGCACACAAGCCTTGATAGACAAACTGGCACCATCTGTTTTAGCATCACAAAAGTGAATATATGCTCATCTCAAACCATGTTATATGAATCTTTGCCAGATGATAGTATGTATGAAAAGTGCGTGCACATCAATGATGGTATGGATCAAAATCCGCCTATAAGAGCAACAGTTGGGAACGAGGTGGTTCAACAGATAATTTGGTAATAAAGTATCTAGTTCACTGAAAGAAAAATGAAAGCGTTCTACCTGTTATGTTTGTGTCCCTCGGAACATCAACTAGCAACGCAGGTCCTGTCCAGAGAAGATGAGTCAATCATGGTCAGTTAAAGCATTTACGACGTGAATTGAACCATATATAATCAAGTGTAAGTGTAACATGCAAAATTCAGAACTGATAGCCTTTCTCGCATCCCTTCTGATTCTGAATGTGAAAACATCATCTACAAGAAACCAACCCCGGTTATGAGCTGAAGCCTGAATACATGGTAACGAGCTCGCAGTCCGAGCTTGCGAACAGGAAACCGAGCAGCTGCATTCTGCTGCTTTTGATAACACTTATCGTTTCATTTCAGACCACGGAACAATTTGGCTTTTGTTCATGGCTTACTTAATTATTGGGATAAAGGACGGACACTGACGTGTGGCGAGTCTTTGAGTTCAGAAATCATTTTTGCTAGAAATAGCAAAGGGGTGAGGCGTGATAGAAATAAGAAATTTGATGAGGAGGCCCCAGCTGGGCTCCAATTCGAGCACCATGTAGATGCCAGCTGCCGAAGCCACTCTACGCAACGCCTTTTTCAGTTGCATCGTTCTAACATAGACGATCATATATGTGCATGCTAGTGTCGCTTTCGACAAGTTCACGAAAGTTAGCGTTCTACTCTGTGTGCCACCTAGTTCTTGCGCAGACGATAGCACCTTTGACGGGAGTTTCTGTAAACTATCGTAGCCAAAAATTCGTTGGAGGTCTTGACTGCGAGATGTTCAAGTGTGGCTGCCCGGTGGACCCGGCTTGTCAGCGACAGTGAGGAGGGTTTCAGAATTATCCTGCCGGCGGCTGTCGCGCTAACGGACAAGCAGTGAGTGGTGGCTAAAGAATCGGGGAATCACGAATTCCTCATCTCGTTCTCGTCCTCCCCAGTCGGAGTCCCCTCCCCACCAAGTTCATCTGAACTGACGCCGGCCCAATCTCCCCAAAGAGCAGGGATTTCTGAGATGATGTCGCGTTCGCGTACCGTTGAGGACGTCGAGGTCGAGCGTGTCGACGTCGAGGCCGGCGGCGAAGTGGGCCTGGTTGATGTGGCCCGGCGCGTCGACGTGGGTGCCCGCGTGGCACTCCATCCGCAGCTCCGAGAGGTTGTACTCGGACCCGTCCGCCATGGACTCCTTGAGGCGCACCACGGGCCCCGTGACCGCCCCCGTCGCGAACGCCGGCAGGTCCGGCACGTACGCGTGCGTGATGTCGATGATGCGCCCGGGGCCGCGCTCCTCCAGCCGCCGCAGCTCCGCACCCGCGCCGGCGGCGGCGGGGGCGTCCACCGTGCAGGTGCCCTCGTCGGAGTAGCGCTGGTGCGCGTCATCGGCCGCCGACGCGGAGAGGGGCACCGCCGCGAGGAGGAGCGCGAGCAGCAGGGCGGCGCCCATGATCGTGGTGGGGAGCGGAGCGGAGCTGAGCTCTCGGGCTGGACCGAAGGAATCTGGACTGGGGGCGGGCGGTAGCTAGCTGCTGCGCGCTCGCGCCGTAGAGTGACGGTTGGCAGACTATTCCACCGCGCGCGGGATTTATGGACTCTCGTTCTCGTTCGCCGCCCCGTCGCCGTCGCATTCGCAAACCGCCAACCGCATGGTAGCGGCCTGCGGGAGATCCAACCCAACTTGGGGCTGCTGCGGCTACTGAATGCTACCGTGGCGCGAGCGCGACCATGGAGCGCCAGATTTTAATCAGACGGCCGATGGTGTAGTGTGATCTAACTTGGTGAACTGCACTAGCTGCACGATGGATGGGAATTGGTGTGGGAGACACCAAAAAAAAAAAAAAAAATCCACACCGTGCACCACGGTGCGGCATACTGGGAAGGCAATGGAGAGTTTATCTAGGGTGGCAGCTTGACCTGCCGTTCTGCACCGTACGCCATTGGCACTCCAAAAGTACTCTTGTTTGATCGCTTCAAAACTTTCTTTACCCCTATATGTGTATGTTTACCTCTGTATAATTCTCAATGCTTTATTGTTATAGGCAAAATCTAAACCGAGAGGCCTCTCGTTCGAGAGCCCCCTGATTTGGCAAAGAAACACATGTTTGAATCAAAAAACCCTGAAATGAACTAATGAGAGGGAATAGCGGAAGTAAGAAATGGGACCAGACCCATAGCGGTAACGCTCCGACGATCCTACAACATTAGCAACCTTAGATTTGGATTAGGGCTAGGATGTTGAGTTAAGGATAAGGAAGGTGGGTGGCGTGTGGTGGTGGTGGGGCTAGAACCCACAGTGACGATGCTCTGATGATCCTGCAAAATCAGCAACCTCTAGCTCGGATTAGGGCTAAGATGTTGGGGTCAAGGTTTCGAGGTTAGGGTTTAGGAGGGCAAATATGCCTATATCGGGTTTAAAGCAAGTGGGCTATTGTGATGGTGCGTGGGCAGAATAGCGGACGGTGACGACACCACTACTGGGGTGGTGGTGGGGCCGGTTGGGGAGGATTGGTTGGCAGAGGTGTCGGATTTGTAGCAATTAGGGAATGGCAGCGGTCGAGGATGGCTGATCCACTGTCGACGGTGCCACCGAAACGATAGAGGCAGAGACAGAGGCGGGAGTGTGATTTGGGGAAGGAGAGAAAGCTTCTTGACTGTGTATCCATATACTAGTTTGCGGGGGTTGACGGATGGGGTAGGGTGGGAGGGGGGCTTGGACACCATGAGTGTCCTTGTAATATTTGTTGCTGGCGGTCATGTTTGGTGTGCTTGCTTTTTTTTTTTTCCCGATTTTTCAGGCTTGCCATAATTTGTATTTTTTAACATCGCCTACGATGCGGATAGACTAAGACCATGTTTAGTTCCACCAAATTTCCAACTTTAACACGGATGCAAAAAGTAGGGTGGGAGGGGGGCTTGGACACCATGAGTGTCCTTGTAATGATTTGTTGCGGCGGTGGTCATGGGACGACGACTTGCTTTAGTAGAGACGAACGATTTTTCCTAATTGCCACGATTGTATTTTTAAAACAAAATGTCAATGTATCTTTCTCGGTGGATTGGATAGACTAAACTTTTATGACTATAGGTACGTAAATTCTCCAGGGAAAGAATAAACTACGTCTCTTTACTCAACAATGGAGACCGGGACGCGAGGCACCGCGACAAGCACAAGGTCAGTCTTGAGCCCAGTCGTGATCCCGAAGGCTTCGGTCATGTCCAGCCGCTCAGCCGCCATCCCGCCCGGCAATTCCCAGTCGAAGTGGAAGAGCAGCGCGGCGAGAGCCAGCTCGATGTGCGCCAGCCCGAACGCCATTCCAGGGCACATCCGCCTCCCGGCGCCGAACGGTATGAACTCGAAGTCCGTCCCTTTGAAGTCTCTCTCGCCGCGGTCGAATCTCTCGGGCACGAACTCGTCGGGGTTGTCCCAGTGCGCCGGGTCCCTGCCGATCGCCCACCCGTTCACGATCACCATGGTCCCTTCGGGTATGTCGAACCCGAGCACCTGGCATGGGCTCCCGCACTCGCGCGGCAGCAGCAGCGGCGCCGCCGGGTGCAGCCGGAGCGTCTCCTTGATGACGAGCGGGAGGTAGCGTAGGCTCGTCAGCCTGTCCTCTGTCACCTTGCCGTGGTCAGCCAGTGCTCGCCGGACCTCGTCTTGGGCCTTCCGCATCACTCTTGGGTTCCTCATGAGCTCTGCCATCGCCCACTGCAGCGTCGTCGCCGACGTCTCGCTGCCCGCGCCAAACATGTCCTGCGTGCGAATGAAATCGAGAAACGTGGATACTGGAATTGGTTAGAAAATTATGTAAGAACAAGATATGGTTACAAATTCATCGGAATTAAGGAGAAGGAGCTTACAAGCATGACGGTCTTGATGTTCTCTGTCGTCAGTGGGTCACGGGAGTCAACTTCCTTTTGCAGTCTCAGTAGCACATCGAGCAAGTCTTCGTCGTCGTCGTCCTCCTCCTTGGCGGATGCTCTGTTCTCCCGGTGCTCCGTGATGATGGTGTCGATGAACCGCTGCATGCCGCGGCGATGCCGCTCGATCCGGCCGGGCACGCGGCTGACGAGCAGCGCGAGGCGCGAGGACGGGAAGAGGTCCGGCAGGGTCATCCCGGGCACGATCTTGAGCCCCTCCTGCAGCATCCGGAGGTACGCATCGCGGTGCTTGAACCGGCTGCCGATGATGGCGCGCACCGTGGAGTCCGCGACGTACGCCGCGATCCCCTGGCTCAGGTTCACCGGCGACGAAGACGACGCCGCGACGGAGCGCAGGAGGCGGCCGACCTCGCCCTCGCGGATGGGGCGGAAGGACTGGACGCGGCGGGCGCTGAGGAGCTCCAGCGCGCAGATCTTGCGGAGCTGGCGCCACCCCTCGCCGTAGGGCGCGAAGATGACGCCCCTGGCGCCCCGGTACGCCAGCTCCTGCATGGGGCCCGTCGGCCGCGACGCGAACGCGGTGTCGTGGGTCCTCAGGATCTCGCGCGCGGCGTCCGGGGACGAGGCCACCACGACGGAGAGCTCCCCGAGTCGGAGCATCATGAGTGGGCCGTGGCGACGCGCGAGGTCCCGCAGCGCACGGTGCGGGAGCGCGCCCGCGAGGTGGTGCAGGTGGCCGATGACCGGCAGCGCCCACGGGCCCGGCGGGAGCCGCAAGGCCCCCGCGCGGGGGCGTCTGGTGGTGGTGAATAGGATGAGCGGGATGCCGAGGAGGATCGCCAGCAGCTGGTAGAGCGGCAGATCGGCGGCCATGGCGGGCTTCCACACTGCTCCGCTGCTGGAGTGGTTGGAATTGGATTATTGAAACGCAAGAAGAATAGTGGCTGTGGTTGCCTGACTTTGAAGCGTTGCTGGTCGCACTCGCACTGCCACTGTGTGACTTTTGCGACTTCGTGGGCACTTGGGGAATTTTTCTTATTTCAGATTTTTTTTTCTGATAAACATTACAAACGGAAACGTTTATACAGACACGTCGTTTACGACCTGGTTAAAAAAGTTGCACCATAATTAAAAAATCTAACTAACTGGCATAGTTCCCACTTAGTTTCAAATTTCAATGATCAAGATCAACAAGAGTTTGGTAATTCATGGAAATACCATTATTTCAAATGGTCAAAGGTCAACAAGATTGCATAACGTCGCACCACCGAGCAACTTGTTAGGATATCGTTCTTTTTATGGAACATTTTTTTTCTACCGTTGGAACATGTACATGCTCATATGGAAAAAAGGGAGGGGGTAGAGAAAATTTGTTGCAACACAGATTTGGTGGACTAGGAACGCAGTGTGTTTTGAAAATAAGAGAGTGAAATTTCCTATTGAGATCATCTATATGATTTGTTCCTTTCTGACATATTGGGCAGGTTTACTGAAGGAGGATTTGAAGCCGCAGGTTCTCCAGGGAGCAGAAGCGGTGAAGTCGGCGGCCCTCCTCTTTCACAAGCAGGACAGGCAGTCACGCACAAAGGAGGAGCGTCAGCTGGTTCTTTATGAGGGTTGAGCAGTCCCCAAGTTCTCGGCTGTGCGACCTGTAATGGTCAAGCGCCCTATATGGATAGTTATCCTGCGTATCGTTTTGGATTCTGTGATAGCATAGATTCATGCATGTGTATCCCTCTGTGATCGCTTGCATGAATGCGTTTATGGTTGTCGTTTTTTTTTTTACTTTTGGTTATCTCTGAACTGATACTCTTTGTAATTTCGTTGCTGTGGTAATGAATTTCGGTTTTACCGGTGTAGAAAAAAAAAGAGAAAGGGTAAATGGAAAATTTTCCTATGAGCCCTCAATTTCGTTATGATGCTACCTAGTAAATTGTCATTCCAAGAGTTAGTCACCATGCTCGTTTCCATGGTAGGTTCAAATACCATGTCAGGCTTCGAAAATTTCAGCTAAAATTAAGCGATTCTTCCCAATGAATGCATATATCAATAATTTTAGTTTTTCTAAATGAGATTGTTCAATTTTAAATTCTAGTCAAAATTTCACAAAGTTTCAACTTCGGCCGAAATTTCAATGATATTTTTTTGTTCCTACCAATCCCGTCCTATATTTTGTGTCACAACCGGTAGGATGAACCTGTGCTATATCAAATTTCCATAAAACAAGGGTAGGGAAATACTTCATAAAACCATGGTATTTTTGAAGTGCTGCCACCTTAGTTTTTCACCCTCTTCAATCGTCTTCTATACCTCCTACGAGCTCTAGGGAGCATTTAGGGTAAAAAGTCTTGCGGCTTACAAAACTTCGTCCGTGTGGTAAAAGTCTACACAACAAGTGGATTGGTGTTGTGGAAGAATGCATTGCGGAGATGGCCACTGGAGTCGAAAATGAGGACGTCTATAGTGACACGACGTCAGCCATCCAGAAAGAGGTGTTGTATATGATTTTCATATATCTTACGTAGAAAATAGAAAAAGAGGAAACTGAAAGATAATGTCTAATAATTAATAGACAATTCAGTAACATGAGAAGATTCTTTTGTACTCTCCGTTTCATAAAAAAATAACATTCTCATTTTGTATTTTATTGGACGAATGAATTACTCCCTCCGTCCAAGAAAGAATACAACTCTAGCACAATATTATGTTTTAGTATTTTAAGTATGATCATTATAACTAAAAAATATTAATATTTATGATATGAATAAATATTATTAGATTAATTACAAAAGGTGTTTTCATAATAAATTGATTTGAAGCAATAAATGTGAATATTATTCGTTAGAAACTTGATCATACGTGAACCACTTTAACTAGCACGTTGTATTTTTTAAGGGCGCTGTCAATAGATATCAAAATTCATATAGTGACTCGTCTATTTTACTTTTTGTAGCTGACATGACACTGAAGTCGTTAGGTTCTTGCTTGTCGGAGTGGCTTGTTGGTGATTGACATGCTTATCGGAATGGCTCGCTGTTGATTGGTGGTACGCTACGTGGGCATTGTGGCAATGTGGCCATGGGGATAGAATGCGCTGCCCTACACGGGAGAAGGAAACAAAGAGAGAGGACGTTTACTCTCTAGTTGTCTCATTGTCTGAAAATGGCTGCGATCAATTCATCATAGTCGATGAAGCTAGACGATCATAACAATGTTCATCTTTTTCCTCCCGTAACAACGATTTATCAAAGCTCACCCCACCATAACTTCAACTTTTTTTCTCCCGCAACAACGATTTATCAAAGCTCACCCCACCGTAACGTCAACATCTTCTATTTTCTACTTTCTTTGTTCTGGAACGGCAATCATATTTGTATAGAAAGTACTATATGGTGACTCAAATCTTACTTATGGTAGGACTCCGTAGAGGTGTGCTATTAGAACTGTTCTAGAATCCTATCAGGAGCAGGACTCCTACTTGCATATATGAGGCCTTTGAAGGGGGCTATATAAACAAAGGTCATCCAAGGCTTGTAAGGTGCAAGGATTAGGCTTGACAGTTCTACTACACTAGATTCTTGTATAGGGCAAGAATAAGTGGGTCCTAAAGGGTTAAGTAGGACTATGAGAGAGCGATAATCACTTGTATTCTTTGGAGTTGTGCTAATAGAATTTATAGTCGGCTTTTGCTAAAATTCTAATCTCTTGTTGTGGCTGCTTCAACATTGTTATTTAGAGTTTTCTATGTGATTCGACTACGTCATTCTTAATACGGTGCAAACTTATATCATACTCGCAATATGAAAGATTTGAGAATTGCTGCACATAACTAGGGCTATCAAATTCTAACCAGAAGAATCAAATTCAACAATTATTCTGATTCTGCATCCCGGGAAGACGCCCGGCAGGCTCATCCCGGGCATGATGGCAAAGAGGCCCTTAGCATCCGTAGGTTGTGGGCAGTGGGACACTAGGGATTGCCACCACCAAAAGGTCGGAACGCCGTGGCGTGGCAATCCCAAATGCCTCGGTCATGTCGAGCTCCTCGGCCGCTAGCCCTCCCGGCAAGCTCCAGTCGAAGTGGAACAGCAACGCCGCGAGCGCGAGCTCGATGTGAGCCAGGCCGAACGCCATGCCGGGGCAGATCCGCCGCCCGGCACCGAACGGTATGAGCTCGAAGTCCGCGCCCCTGAAGTCCCTGGTGCTCTGCTCGAACCTTTCCGGCAAGAACTCGTCGGGTTCGTCCCAGTGCGCCGGGTCCCTGCCGATCGCCCACGCGTTCACGATCACCGTGATGCCCGCCGGCACGTCGAACCCGAGCACCTGGCACGCGCTCTGGCACTGGCGTGGAACCAGCATCGTCGCCGGCGGGTGCAGCCGCAGCGACTCCTTGATGACGAACCGCAGGTAGCGCAGGCCGGCTAGGCTGTCCTCGGTCACCGTGTCGTGGCCGGCGAGCGCCTGCCGGACCTCGTGCTGCGCCTTCTCCATGGCCCTCGTGGTTCCGCAGGAGCTCGGCCATCGCCCAGTCCAGCGTCGTCGTCGACGTCTCCGTGCTCGCGCCAAATATGTCCTGTGCGTGCAAGCAGCGAACTTTGAGGTCTCAAATGGAATCATAATTCATGTTCATGGTGGCAGTGTTTGAACTTTGAAGTGGTGGATTTGTCACCAGCATGACGGTTTTGATGTTCTCGGTTGTTAGCGGGAACTGGGAGTCCACTTCCTTCTGAAGTCTGAGGAGCACGTCGACGAAGTCCTCCTCGTCGTCGCCGTCGGCGGCGGCTGCCCTGTCCCGGTGCTCCTGGATGATGCCGTCCATGATCCGCCGCATGCTGAGGCGGTAGGCCTGGATCCGGGCCGGGGCGCGGCTGAGGAGCATGGCGAGGCGCGAGGACGGGAAGAGGTCCGGCAGGCTCATCCCGGGCATGATGCCGAAGAGGACCTTGAGCATCCGCAGGTATGCGTCGCGGTCCTTGAGCCGTCGGCTTCCGATGATGGCGCGCACCGTGGAGTCGGCGATGTAGGTCGATATCTTCTCGGTCAGGTTGACGACGGTCCCCGTCCCCGACGCCGAGGCGGCGGCGACGGAGGCGAGCAGGCGGCGGAGCTCGTCCTCGCGCACGGGGCGGAAGGAGTGGACGCGGCGGGCGGTGAGGAGCTCCTGGGTGCACACCCTGCGGAGGTGGCGCCAGTCGTCGCCGTAGGGCGCGAAGAGGATGCCCTCGGCGCCCTGGAACCCGCATCACCCGCGCGCCGCGGCGGCGGAGGACGCCACCACCACCGGGACCTCGCCGAACCGGAGCAGCATGAGCGGGCCGTGGCGACGCGCCAGGTCGCGCATGACGCGATGCGGGAGGCGGCCGCCCCCCGGCCGGGCCAGGTGGTGCAGGTGCCCGATCACCGGCAGCGCCCACGGCCCCGGCGGGAGCCGCGTTTTGCTCCCGCGTGGCGGCGTCCTGCGTCTGGTGGTGGCGGCCAAGAGGAAGTAGAGCGGGATGGCGAGGAGAGATGCGAGAAGCAGCAGCGTGAGGTCGGCGGCGGCCATGGTGGTTTGGGAGATTGATGCTGCTGCTCCTGCTGGTGGTCGGAGCGCGAACGGATCAATTCTTGAACCACGCCGTGTGCTTTCGTGCGATGTACTAGTTGGTTAGCGCACGGTTATGTCCGGATCACACCATTCCTGTGCATTCATGGCACCTTGAATCTCGCCTGAGAGTACCACTACACTAGTACTGCTGCTGCATTACGCTGCCAAACTTTGGAAAACTCTAAACCTGAGTTGGCGTGCTCAAACTCTAAACCTGACCGTGGAATTGGCAAGGTGATTGATGGAATCACCGAGGGCTGAGTCTTACGACGGGTTGTGTCTTTCAGAATCGTTGGTTAGCACGGCTATGCCGATAACACACATTTCTCGTGCATGCATTCGTGGTCCGTCCATCTCTCGTCAGTCGTCAGAGCACCAGTTACATCGGGGCGGGGGTTGTAAAACTTCGGTACTCCATGATCCGACATAAAACGAGGAAAATCTTCCCTTTTTTTTCCACTCTTCCTGCAGCTCAACTGTTGGAAGAGGAGGCCGGTGTGGGTCGGAGTCGGAGCAACACGGCCGCACGGGCCTGGGCGCATGGCAGCGTCGGCTGATGCTGTCAACATTTTTTTAATTGATTGACAACGACGATGGGCCAAGAGAGCTTCCAAGCCCACCATGCGCTACGAAGGAGAAGAATGAGCAAAGTGATTTCGGCCCAAGTCGGCCTGTAATAGGTGACCAGTAGGAGCTGTTAAAGCCAATCCTTGTTCGTTTTGCTTTGAAAAAATATTTCTATATGTCATTGGCTAAAACTTGTATCACTAATCTACTACCTAAAAAACTCAAATTTTCTATATGAACTTTTTATTACAGTTCAATCATATAATAATTATCCCACCATAAAATTTTCACCACAACAGAAAATCATAGATCTAAAGCTACAACAAAAACTTTGCATTAAAGCATACCATATTATATATTCACTGTGTAGATCTACTCATGTGGAGTCCAACAAAATAAGATTTTCTATTTTATGATTTTTCTGTGATTTAATATGCTTTTTTCGAAAATTTAGTCAAAATAAATAAAAAAAGAAAAAGACAAAATCACTTTTGAAAACCACGTATAACCGGGTTAGGGAGGTAAACTAAATGGTTTTAAAAGTTGAGGGAGGTGGTTTACCCGGTTTTGAAGTTCATACAGAAATACTAGACTTTGAGGATAGTTTAAGGAGGTAAAATGGATTTTTTTTCTTTGCTTATCACCCCGAGACGATGATGCGGGCCAAGAGAGCTTCTGAGCCCGCCAAGCGCTACGAGGGTGAAGAATGGGTAAAGTGATTTTTGGCCCAAGTCGGGTTGTTAAAGTGAAGCCTTGTTCGTTTTGCTTTGGAAAAAAATTCTATATGTCATTGGCTAAAACTTGTATCTCTAATCTTTTTTTTCTCAATTTCACTATCATAAATTGTAATTGCTTTCAGCCTTTCACGTCACTATTGATCATATCCACATAGTCTTAGCTAATATGCGGGGTATCACTGTCAAGGTGGGTAGAGAGGAAAAGGAGAAGTGGTGTTCGTTTGCTTATGAATTCTTGCCCGATTTCTGCTACACATGTGAGCGTGTTGGTCACATTGATAAGCAGTGTGAAGTTCGGCTGGAAGCAGGTGAAACCCAGCAATTTTCTAAATGCCTAAGATATATCCCGGAGAAGAAGAAGATGGAAGGTTTTCAAGATAGAAGCTCGCAGTCCGGTCGTTTGAGAGGGGGATGGATTGGTGGAGGATCAGGCAGTCGAGGCTCTCACGACGGCCGCGACAATCGCAGTGGCCGATGGGCCTCCTCGGGGTCAGGTAGTGATGCAGCGAGGTGGAGAAAGGAGGAGGGGGAGAAGTCTGGAGAGAAGGAAGAAGAGATGCTGAGTCCTCTCAAAGCTCCACCGAAACCAATGAGTCATAGACTCATAATGACCCAGCGGCACAGAAGAAGTTGTTGTTGGAGTCGAAAGAAGCAGGTAAAGGGGATGATGCACCTGCTGATGCAAAGGGGGCTGCAGGAAATAAAAAAGGCGCAAAGGGAAACAAAAAGGGTTCCTTTAAGCGTCTTGATATGAGTCGGCCAGCTGCAAAGAGTGGAAAGGAGACGGGAGAAACTCTGGGAAAGAGGAGGGTGCAGGAGGGTGATGTCCAGGAGGCTGATGACGCAAAGAAGTTCGAATGGAGCTCGAATGTTTTAGGGGGCTGGGAGAAGAGAAGGAAAAAATTAAAAAAAGATTTGGAGGCCTGCAGAAGGAGTTCTTTGAATGATGGTGGTGTGAGTAGGGAGGCTTCCCTCCGTTTCCAGTTGGACAAGGTAGAGGAGCAAATAGATTTGTATTGGAAACAAAGGTCGCATACAAAATGGTTGGAGAAGGGAGATAGGAACACGCAGTTCTTCCATGCTGCTTGCTCGGAGAGGAGGCGTAGAAATAGAATAGGGAAGATAAATAATGGTGAAGGGGGCTGGGTGGAGAATGAAGTAGAGAAGAAAGGTTTTATTTCTAACTTTTTCATGCAGCTTTTCAAATCCAATGCAACCGGGGACGCACAGCAACTCCTTCATGCTGTGCAGCCCTGTGTAACACCATTGATGAATGAAGAATTGATGGCTCCTTTCATGGCCGGCGAGGTGAAATTGGCGCTGGATGCCATAGGAGATTTAAAAGCCCCAGGGCCTGATGGAATGACGACAATTTTTTACAAGAAATTCTGGGAAGTGGTGGGTGGAAAGATTACAGAGGAGGTGATGATTTTTCTGCAGGGGGTCCGATGCAGGATAGATGGAATGAGACAATCATATCCTTGATCCCGAAGGTCCAGAAACCCGAAAGGGTAACCGATCTTCGGCCGATAAGTCTTTGCAATGTGTTATACAAGATTATCTCCAAAATTCTGTCTAAATGTTTGAAGAAGCTGCTGCCGGAAATTATCTCTCCCAACCAGAGTGCGTTCGTGCCAGGTAGACTAATCTCTGATAACATTATAATTGCTTATGAGCTCACTCATTATATGAAGAACAAGAAGAAAGGGAAACAAGGATGGGCTGCCATTAAGCTGGGCATGAGTAAGGCATACGACCGTGTGGAGTGGAGCTTCTTGGAAAAAATGATGATCAAGATGGGATTTTGTCAGGAGTGGATTGGGCTGATCATGAAGTGCGTGTCCTCGGTGTCGTATCGAGTCAAGGAGAATGGAAGTTTATCTCAGCCCTTCGAGCCTGAACGAGGTCTCCGGCAGGGGGACCCTCTCTCACCATACCTGTTTTTGTTATGCGCCGAGGGGTTTAGCGCTCTACTAAATAATGCTGAAGCTGCTGGTCTTATCAAAGGTGTCAAGATCTGTAATAATGCCCTAAGTATATCACATTTGCTCTTTGCTGATGATTCACTAATTTTAGTACGAGCAACCCAATCGGATGCAATGCAGCTGCAGCATATTTTACAGGTATATGAAAGTGTCTCGGGCCAAACAATCAACAAAGAGAAGTCGGCGGTGCTCTTCAGTTCCAACACAGCCCAGGATGACCGAACAGAGGTGAAGGCAGCCCTCCAGATTGGAAGAGAAACAATGAATGACAGATATCTGGGATTACCAGTTCATGTAGGATTATCAAGAGTGGGGACTTTTAAATATCTGAAAGAGAGGGTATGGCAGCGTATTCAGGGATGGAAAGAGAAGATGCTATCTAAGGCGGGGAAGGAAATCCTGATCAAAGCTGTAGCGCAGGCTATTCCAACCTTTGCGATGGGATGTTTTGATCTTACTAAGAGCTTGTGTGACCAAATTAGCTCAATGATCTGCAAGTTTTGGTGGATGTCACACCCCAAAATTTCCATTTTGGGATGTGACTTAGAAAACCCTAAACAAAATAAATGATTTAATATTTTTTCCTAAAATTAACTAAGATTTAGATAGTTTGTTATTATTTTGTTAAATAAAAATAGCTTTATAAAACTCTTCGTAATTAATTTTTCCATATGGGTGTTGCATTCATGCTGGTTGCATTGATTTACTTGAGTAAAAATGAGTTAGAAAATTTGATTAAGCCTCGAATAAGTTTTGTTCTATTTACAAAATTTTAAAACAAAATTCAAATTTATTTTTGTCAAATCAAGTTTCAAAACACTCATTTATTTATTGAAAAAAAAAACTTAAAATTTCGTCTTGCATCCAATCCCTTCATTGCCCAATCTTTATTCTTATCTAATAAGATCATCAAATCTAACCCAATCTTTTCCTTTCTTTTTCTCTATAAGAAATTCTTTGGCCTTTTCCCCTTTTTCCCCCTTGAGTCTCAATTTCATTGCACGTGATTTAATCCATGCATGAAAGAAATAGTCATGTCATAGCCTCATAGGTCACGTATTCAACTAGCAAGTTGACCAAAAACTCTACCTTCTTATATTTGTTTCTTTATTATATTAAATCTGGTCCACAGCAGCCCAGCAGGCCAGCCCACGCGAGCTCCTCTACCATCTCACTTCCAACCTGGCCCCACACGTCATGTCCCACCTTCAGCTCCTGCATTCCTCTTTGAGCAGACTGCAGGTGCAGAGGCCGAGCCCTGAGCTCACGCCTGGCCATGGCTGTTCTGGTCGTTCCCTACACCTCAGTCACTGACCAGCAGGGCCCAGGTGTCATCCCTCTCCTCCAGCCGGCCCCAATCCTCTCTCTCCTACCTTCCCATCCATGGCCGACGGGTGAACCAGACAACCAGGCCATGAAGCCGTCCAGGTGCGACGCCCTCTCCTGCAGTCAAGGACGCCATCAAGATCGCCATCAAAGGTCTGCAGTAACGCCCCTCTTCACTCCCTTCATCACGCCACATCAATCTCTGCATGCAAAAACTGCCGGTCGCCATTGATGGCATTGAAGCCGTGCTCGTTCACCGTCCGAGCCCCTTCCTCTCCCTTGTTCACCCTATAAAAACTATCCACGAGCACCTCGCGCGTGCGCCGCATCCACCCTGCCCATCCAGTGCCTCCTCGCTTGCCTCAGCAGCACCAATCGCCGACACCCGCCATGGCCGATGCTCTGGCCGCCGCGTCCATCTTCCTCGGCCGCCTTTGATCTACTCGGTCTGAGCCGCCTCCTGCTTCGATTCCGCCTCTGTTTAATTCTCAGGGACTTCTTGCTCACGCCATGCTACTCATCTGCAGGAATCCGAGGCCTTTTGTACAGAATCCGTGGTCGCCGGAGCTTCCGACGTCCGCCGCAGTCCGTTTCTCCTCGGTTCCCTCTCTCTCCGTTCCGAACTGGACGCTACGAACTACTCCACCAGTTTCGCGGTGAGCTCCCATACCCAACGCACTTGCCCGCGTTGTCTTCCAAGCTCCGGCCGCTGATGTCGATCCCCGCGAGAGGACGTCTCCTGCATTCCTTCCTCGGCTTCGAAGTGACATACTGCATCCTCTCCGCTGCTTCTCAACAGCAATCGGTGGCCAATCGGCCATTTCCCCACCTCGCTGAAGAGGCGAGCCGCCGCCCGATTTTTTTTACATTTTGGTCCTTTTTTTTTTTTTTTTACTTTTGTCGGAAAGAATTCAGAAAAAATCTACCCTTAGCTCGGGCGCTTTCCTTTAGCGCTGTCGCCGAGCTGCTAGGCACGGTGAAAATGCCTGCCAGGGGGCTCGGCGCCGGTCACTCTGACGCCGAGCCTCCTGCCATTTAAAAGTGCATACAGTGCAGTGGCGAGTAGTACATGCTCATTTTTAAAAGTGCATGCAGTGCCGCAGACTGATACAGCGCATTCAATTGAATCTGAGGAGTCACATCAGAGTAGTACATTCAATGGGGGCCGTACAACGCAGGCAGAGGAAGCAGCGCATTCAATTACTCGAAGAGTCACATCAGCTAGTCCCTAGCTAGCCCCTATTTATCTGCGTATATTTGTTTCCTGTACGGGTAGATTACATGTCAGAAGAGGAAAAAGTAGGTGGCTAAGATAGTTGTATCACTGAGAAATTAAATATGCTAATATGATCTACCCTCTCTGTTTTAAATTGGACTTCATCTAGGATCAGTCTTAAACCTGTATCTCAATGATTTCAGTCTTATTCCTTTGCTCTTACTAAAAATAATACCGGATGTGATTGAAAATTAAGGAAACAACAGAATCCGTGATTTCTAAAAGCAAAATGGAAAGCAAACATGGCACAAACAGCAGAGGTGCCAAGGAGAAATTACTATTACACACAAAGTTATTCGATAGAAGAAATTCAATATCTAGAGCCCCCAAATTGTTGTCTATCGTCCAGTTCACTTGGTCGTAAACGATCGTTTCAGCCCAGCCAAATAGGTTGTATATTGTTGAGTAACTAAAGTACATTTTAGAACCTATAATATACTTATTTAACAAAATAGAAATGAGATTTTTGAATAAAAGCAACGGCAACTCACTAGAGTTTCAACATAAAATATGGAGAAAAATATTTAGTAGATAATAAGAACTAAAATTGAAACCTGGAATAGATTTATGAGGTCATGACATATGTCATTATAATCTGTAATACAACCTAGTCCTTGCTGCCCCCCTTTTTTTTGGTTTCAGAGTCTAATTCATCATTAGTTCCATGCATGTAGCTGAACAAAAAATGGAAAAGGAACTAAAAGAACGCGACGACAAATATGTTGAGCTGGATACCAAGTTTCTGAGGCTTCACAAGCGTGCAAAACAACGTGAACAAGATATACAAAAGGTAAGAAGTAACCAATTTTTGATCTGTCCTATCTTCACTTTAGCTTGAAAATAGTACGTAGATCTTTTACTTCACTGCCTCAGTCTCTCCCTAAATATGGAATTTTTCAGCTGTCCTATGTGCACATTAGTTTGAGAATAAACTAGTACAATTTGATTCAACGATTGTTGCGGTGTAATCGACTCTTTGCTGCCTGTTTCTCATGTTTCGTGAATATACTGAATTATTGAAACAAGAAGTTGATCTTTAGTGTTTTTCCTACACATTTACCCAAAAAGATGACCTGGAAGCTCGGTTTAATGAAGTTAATCAGAAGGCTGACAGGCTGCTTCTCTGCAATTAGCAGCACAGCAGGAACTGGAACGTGCTCGTCAGCA